GCCATACGAAGACATAACTATACCGTGTTCGTATGTATACTTACTCGTTAATAAAGGTGAAGTTAACTAACTAATTGAACAAGAGCACGCTACGAATAGATATTAAAGTTTAGTACACGAACTCATTTCTGCTTACTATTGAGAATTAATTAATATGGGGAAGTACATTTATCAAATAATTTGCTTGTAACATTTGAGGTTGAATTATTTTTAGATATTCCGTCTGCTGGTGTAAGTCCCATCTCGCATTTTAAAACTTTACAGCTATGTTTTTAGGACATTGAACTCACTGTGTTCCCGCTCGATCATTATTAGCTTGTGTCGCTTCCCAAGTAAGTGACTACAAATGATCCAATATTCATGATTCAAACAGATTTTGGTCATGATTGTCACATCTGAATAGCAACAGCTCATCTCTCTCGTAATTGCACCTAGGGATACTCAAGATAATAAAATTTCCAATTAAACTTCTATTATTTCGTTTGCTTATACGGAAAGTGAATCAACTTCCACATCCGTGCCGAGTGATTGACGATTTTTACGTTTTGGTGTGATACTATAACGTGACACAATTAATATACATATTTTAAAAGACCAACATTGCACGTTTATCTGAAATGTTTTCGCACGTTTAAAGTGTTTAAGATCATGTCGAATAAAATGTCTGCCCTTAAACTTTAAAATAACTCGGGCGTTTACCTAATGCATTTATGAGCCATTAATAGCCGATAGATATCTATACAAATTTGTATTGTTTGCGATTTATGTTTACCTCACCCCGTTTTTTTGCTCGTCACGCAGTTCAAATAATCCCTTGACTTTAGATCAGATTACTCGATGGTATCACATTCATTTGTATTCGGCACTGGAATAATCCTCATGTGCATTGTTTATCCAGCCGCGCCACCAATCCACAGCACGTGCCTTCAGACAAAGTTAGATCCCTAGTATTCTACGTTTCACACTATAAATGTATCCTCAAGTAGTCAGGACGTTCATCAGAGATGTCATCATCAGAGTCATTTTAACCAATACGGGCTTCATGTTACCAGGACAACTGTTTTTTGTTAAAACCAAACATACTAACAGGCGACTTTTTTCGCGATTTCGCTTGAATTATTTAGAAAACTGATAACTTCGACGAGACGGAGCTTTATGGCGTTATTCTTGACATTGCAACGGGATGAATTCAAATGATGGGCATGATATTCTACGAAGTACTTGTGCGCTTACTTTCAATACTATTTTTGCTCAAGATTCGGCAACTGGTTGGCTGCGGACTTCCCCGAGCGCGCCTCCCGGTTGCCCTAAGAGTGTACAGTGGCGATAGATTCGAACGGAAACGACTGTCTGACTAGGCTGCCTGGTACAAAATTGTCGGAAGCTTGGCACGTTTGTGCCTTAGCAAGGCAACACGAGCTTCCTCTTGATTCTCACTTACAGTACTATATCGTGGACTCGAACGTTCATCTCCTATCCCATGTATTTAGTTTCCATGTCTACAGCTACACCCTTCGATTGTACTTCCGGGTCCTGAACGTTGCCCATCGGTGTGTAAAATAGAACACTCCCCTGGGATCATCTCAGCCCGCGAGCCCCTCGTGGGTGGCTAATCAGACCATGACCCCCTGGTTCGTTAGCTTCCATTCCCTCTCCCCCCGTTGGTATACAACGATCTCTTATACAACGGTTAGAACAGCATGAGGGCAGGTGGCTCAAGTAGGGTTTAATCGGTAGGAATCACTTGCTCCAAAGACAGCCATTGTTTCATTAATTTTGTCCTTTAAACATTCAATTACTATTCGGGAATAGTTTCTTTGAAATGCCACCGATAACGGCATGGAACTATATATAATGTATTTAAAACAAACTTATCAATTCCATAGTTGGAAGTTTTCATTATGGCACGTCGTATACTACAGTTTTGAAAAACAGTATATTTGATAGAATTTAACCTCTGCCTTCAGTGCAGAAGTGCACGGTTAAATAACATCACATAAATATATGCATCCTTTTCGAAGAAATAATTTCGCATTTGTTACATGGCTACATGGCGAATGCTATATTTTGTCTACCCTGGTTATATTTAGGTTTTGCTTAATTACGTTGATCTAAGCAATTTTTCGCTGAAGATATATTGGTAATATTTGAATTTAGATTTAGTACACCAGTTCAGTCGATATGGCGGTGAGTTAAGAAATCTGCATAGTTTTTCGAAAAAAACGAAGGAAGTACAGATGTTACAACTGTCAGCATCTTTTCAGGAAACATTTGCAAAAGCTTTTGGGAAGCCATTCAGAACGATGTTCAAATTTTGCATGTCCTAAAATGCTTACAAATATGTATTGAGAAGTCACGTATTCTGCACTTGAATTAATGAATCGCTGACACAACTGAAGTATTTAGAAAATGAAAAATGTTTGCCAATAAAAGGCGTTGTTTCGCAATATAAGTTCTGCCTCCAAACATTGTCTTGGTTTTCGTTATGTTGTGCTTCATGGACTATCGACAAAACATAGATAATCTAAACGTGTCACAGGTAAAATAAAATATGAAATCCACCGGGGTCGAGACTGTAACTACTTAAAACGCTAATTTTTGTTTTTTTTGGAATTGGAATTTAATTGTAGTACTTTCCTAGGAGCATAATTCAAAGGGAAAATTCGATCAATTCAATTCACAGCGTGCTTTATTCGTGATGTTAGTACAACACACACATCGCTACAGCACCCGCACCTAAGTTACCTCATTAAATAGTTCCCAATAACTACTAGGGTTGCAAAACCTTAACAGGAGAATTCACAAAAAATATATTAATAAGAGAGTAATGCTTTTAAAGGTCGAGTAGAACGGGTTAATTAAAATTAGGGTAAATCTTACTTGAAGTTCAACTGTATTTAAGGTTGAACAAGCGTAGTTAATTTCCGACGTGTTTATTAATTTTAACTCGATCTGTTCTAGTTCTACACCGATGTGTAAACGCGTATATTGGCTCAAGGTGGTTCGTTTTTGATGGGGAAAAAAATATAGTGATTGAAGGCTGAAAAATATAGGCCATGTTTTTCTCCTGAACACCGTGAACTCCAGCTATTGTGCTGTTATACAAACTCCAAACTTAAGATTTCGCGGATGGAGGTCTGAATGTAGCAGAGTAACAACTTACTAAATATTCTCGAACTTTTCAGTTTGAATATTGAACAGCAAACATAAACGTAAACAACGGCTATCTCAATTTTACCCGAACCATTTTCATTGCTCTTTCCATAGACGCTTTAGTGTTCTTATGTATACAGGCTGTGGATCACGAAGGACTTCAGGTTCATAAAAAAAATCTAATCATTTATTAGACGAAACAAAAGGGCTTGAGTCACTGGAATTAGCTTGGTCACCCTTTGATGCCTGGCGAGTAGCTTAAGAAATCAATTCGCTGATCAAACCGTAAATGGTCCCCTGATCAGTGTTTCTGTTAGCATTATCTTGACTAAATAGCTGCGGATACTACTTGAACTTGGGAATTCAGCTGAATCCACTGAATTCGAGGAGCAGACAGAGTATCTATGGAGGTAGCCATAATTTTGCTAAACAAACCTAAAGAGAGAAGGCTTCTTATGGCAACCGATTACACTGTTCGGGCCAAAACCTACGGAAAAAGATCACCTACCCAAGATGAGCTTAAGGAGCGTGAGGAATATTTGAGACGTGAGACGATACTTTGAGATGAGCTGCATATGTGTCCCTATTTAACGAATTAATTCGTTCACTAAGGTAGGTGAGTAATCTGAGTGAGCCTGATGATTCAAAGCCGCCAGCCATTCCGTCCTGTTAGAATGTAGCACTCTTTAAGGAAGATCACTTGTTCAAAGTGAAAGTTTACAGAAAAATTGAGCACTAGTGAGTATTAAAGTGGGCCGCAACACTCCATGAGTTGACCTGTCAAAAGATGCACCCGATGTACTGGTCACTATCTTAATCAGCTAAGATGGGTCACCTTTTTGCAGCGAGACCATTTTTGTACGACTATATGCGTGTACCTAATTAGAGCTATTGGATTTTTATAACGGAAATAAAAGCAGCAGAAATATTGATTTTTTATTGATTTGAAAATCAAAGATAAGACAGATTTTAGCTCAGTGTTACCGTTCAGGTTAGCTTTTCGTACCAGCAGGGTTGGTGCTTGGTAATTATAGGTTGCTATATCCTTTCGAAAGGTTTCACCACATCAAAGTAACATTTCCAGTCCAGCGCTGTCTGTGCCGCTTCAAATAAATACACACTAAAATTAGGGGTAAGTCGAAGACTTAAATTAGTTATTCAGCGATGTTAGCGATTTAACACACTTACTCAAATTTGGGTGATGGATCAGGAAATGCTGCTTTGAATAGTATGCAAATTACCTACTAGATATTTATGCGTTAACCATATTTATTCAGCGTAGCTGGACATCTGAGCTACATCACTACTATCACTTCGATCTTAACTGGTTTTACTCGTCACATGCCGGTCTTGGATTATTCGATACCATTCTACTCTCGAATCTTACATTATTGCTCAGTCTTTTTGACACGCTTTCTACACTAAAAGTATTCGAAATTAAAAGTTAATTTTCTTCACCCATAAGACAAACTCCTTGATCGTCCTGCTAAATAATAACACTAATTTGAGTAGACATGAATTTTTTGAGTCTTCTGCGTCGCTAATATTTATTTAATTAACACAATCATCATCCCCCTTTGTCATTCCCTAACCATGTCCAACTTTTTTGTTTTAATCATCGTCAAACTCTATCGTCTTAATACCATATTGAACTGAGGTCATGCAAGGACACACTGAACTGTTCCTCGTTGTTTTTTTCGTTATCTTATATATTCGTTACCACGCAATTTGCTCCACTGTGTGAATGTGTATCTCCTGCTTCGTCTGCCTTAATGTTTTTTAACGCCATTCATTTTTACTTTATCTGCTTATCAATTTCTCTATTAATTCTCTAACCTTGTGTTTGCTTTTTTCTCTAACAGAATTTAAAGTTGTCCACATTTTTGCCGCATCCTTGTCTTCCCTATATAATCCCACAGAAGGAATTTTATTATGAGTAATGATTCTACTAGCATGAGTAGTAATAGTATAGCAGGAGTAGCAGCAATTATGCTAGTACTAGATAATAATTACAGTAGAATGTAAAACAAGCTTTGTTGCTCTTGTCGCTGAACTTGTTGCTGTCGTTGATTACGTTTTAGTAACGAAACGACACGAACACGTTACGCGAGTAGAGGGATTCTAAAGGGCGGGGGGGGGGAGGAGGATGGACTAAGCGAATATCAAGTTCATCGATCAATCGCCATCACCATACATACGTGTTCGTGTATGGACGCATGCTATTACTACGAATTCTATATACGGCATATAGATATGTCAACTAGCATGTAATGATACACAACACAGATCAACGTAAGTGACGATCAGAGCAATCGGACGAGATCAAAATGAGGAACTTAGCCTCGTGCAGATCAGCAGTGTTTCGTACCATCGCCTTTCTCGAAATGTCATGACGAACCCTATACACTACATATTTCTTGTATGTATGTTCGCCCATCACGTTGCACATTGGCTGCCTCCATGTCCCGTCGTCTCGCACATGAGCCGACTCCTCTAGTATTGCCGTCATTAAGGGGAAATAATCAGCCTTAATAGATGTTCTATATTTTATCATTGTTGACGACGTGGCAGAAATTTGTGTACAAATTTACGTAGTAAGCAATTTGTTATCGTTTCTAGTCTATCTATATCTATATATACGCGCGTATGTAGATGCACAAGAACGCAGAACAAAACAAAAAACAACACATGATCAGATAATCTTGGTCGCAAGCAAATAAAGTAAAAATGATATTAGTAATAGTTGTAGTTATAATAATAGCATATAATACAGAGCAACAATTACGGTGCCCCCATTTGATGGTGATGCTATTTATTGGTCTTTCACATATTTTACGGTTATCGCCTCATTACCATCAGCATCATTCATCATTACAGTAATCATAATCTAATGAATTGTTGTTTTATTTTTGCTACACCTTTTTGCTGCTGTCATTGCTGCTTTTGTCGTATTTGCTTTCTTTGCTATTACTTCTTTGTTTATTTGTTTTTATTAGCTCATTATACTGTTGTATAATTTGGCTGCATGAGTGACCGCATGGTGATTGACTTCTGCTGTTTTTGGGTGTAACGTAATGAGCGTCTCTAGCTGGGGAAGTATTATGCAACGGGCTTGTGTATGCAGTGGTTGAAACTGTGCACTTGTGTGCCCGTAAGCGAATTATGGCTTACTGAGCATCATTTTCGTGTGTGAGTGAAGTTAAGCAAAAAAAACTAGATCGACTGATGAACGGATGAATGGATCGGTTGGTTGGTTGATTGATTGATTGAATGATGAAACGAAATACCTTTTTTCACATTATGTACGTTAGTTATCGTGCAAAGTTGCCTTCGTATACTTCCTAGCTGTTTTGTTGCTGTTGCTTCGGTCGGTGTGATGTCATTAGATAGATATTTTGTTGTTGTTGTTGTTGTTGTTTACGTGCATCTCATCTGTGTGCCCTAGTGTCTGTCGTTCAAGAGAGGAAAAATGCAAAACAATGACACTTCACCCTCAAAACATTCTCGCGATCTCTTTGTGTCGCTCTCCTCCTCTTTGTCTTATTTTTTTGCTATGGATTTTTATCCGCACTGCGACGACGATAATATATCGTATTCATTTTTTGTTTTCTCCTTTAGTATTTTTGGACCATGGCGACTATAGGTACACTTTAGTGTTAGTCGAGTTTAATTCATCGACCGCTCTTCTGTCCCTTCAAAGATAAAGGTCAGCGTTTACCTACGATCGACTTGTCTGCTACGCGCTGTCCCAAGTTTGATCTACCGTCTGTACGGGTGGTATGAACCGGCAGCGCCTGGAGGAGCCATCGGTGCGCCGTTGGCCCTCTCAGTGCCTGGAGCTGTCGCTGTTGTATAGGCCGAGCCGTAAGTGTCATATGCGCCCCGGGTAGGTCCATAGCTCGAAGCGTCCTGACCATAATTTCCACCCATATTGTTGTAACCATTAGGCGGCGCTGGCGCAGGACCTCCCGGAGCTCCATAACCACCGTAGGCTGGAGCGGGCGGTGCGGGCCCAGTAGGGCCGCCTGGTGGGCCGTAACTACCTGCCGGGGCACCGTAACCACCATATCCAGGAGCGGCCGCTGCGGCAGCAGGACCAGGCCCTGCATAGCCAGGTCCCGGTGGGTAACTGCTTGGTGGCTGAGAGCTGCTCCACCCTGCATGAGGTGGTGCAGCTGGAGGGGGGCCCCACGCTCCACCTGGACCCGTTTGCGGGCCACCATATCCACCTGAATAAGGAGTAGGGCCTAAATCAACATAAGAAAAGCGTTTAGTTTATATTGAATATTATATCTATGAACAAATATATTTTGAAATAGACTGAACTGAAATCTTTCGCGAGACTCTCAGACTAGCAATATTATTAAGTAATCGTTTTCAATAGTAAAACACCTAACAACTTGCCTTCCTGCGGTCCAGGTGCACCCCATCCTCCTCCGAAGCCTCCGTTGCGGAAATCACCAGGTGGTCCCTGGGGAGGTCCTCTTGGTCCGGCAGGGGTGCCGTACGCATAGAAGTCGCCTCCGCCACGAGGTCCTCCCTGTGGTCCAACGGGTGTCCCCATCTTTGACTCAAGTACGTCACGCGGCTGGGCACGTTTGCACTCGACCTGTGAGCACGGATAATAGATAAAATGGTTAGGTACAAAACAAACATGTATGATTTTGCACCGTCTTGTAGCTCAGAAAAAAGCCACTTCTAATAACGAATTTTTCAAAGACGCAGTTAGCTATTGTCATATTAGAGAATTAAAAACAGCCTTCTCATGTTCTGGCTTTCCAAATAGAAAAGAACAAGCGATACATACAGATGGATTCAGCAGGATATGTCTGATTTCTATATTATAATCGCAAGACATAAGAACATCCCAACAAAACGTTTGTACAATTGAATTAGCTAACTAAGGTATAGCATAGAAATGACAAAATATTGGTAAACACACTTTTTATACTAACCGATCCGTTTAGTTCTAGCTAAACCAAGTTGTTACATTACTATTTGCACTAAAAGTAGTAAGACTTGAAAACGGTGACCAAATAGACACGCAGGTATAGTATTTTCTAATAGATACATAGGTGAATGCGACTACTGGATACAATATTTAGATCTTCGAGCCCACTCAAGGTATACATAGGCCGTACCTATTACTCGTCAATAACAGTACGTAACCAATATCTACAGTCTACGAGCTACTATGTAAATGTATCTAGACGCCGTCACCTACTTACATGTAGCTACTACTTAAAATTATTCCAAATCTAAACCTTAGCAGGTTGTTACACGCTCGAGGAGGGGCCCACGACGCAACAAATGAGAGCCATAGTCAAGTCCAGATTTAATGCACTCTACTCTAACCGTAAGACGTAGTACATTTGAATGAGCTCAAAATCCTTCGCCGTAATAGGAATAAAGCACAGCATATTTATTTACATATTAGATAACGCCTAACCGCCTATAAACTACAGTATACGCTATAGTGGTTTCTGTGAAGGCACCAAACTCAAGTGCAATCACAATTCTCACACTGAACAATAGCGGTAGTGGCAACGGCACACCCGCGTTAAAATCGAATGTCCAGATAATATGGTAACTGAAAAACCATGTAAAAAATAAAATCCTAAAACAGCAATAAAAACAACGAAATCACTAAATTTCCCCACCCTCCCCCTCGAAACCTCGTCCGCGTCAAATCCTATGTTAGTCAGTGTTTTTTTTTGGCTTTACGATGGGCACGTTCAACAGAGGAGGCGCGTAGGAGATGTTTGAGAAAGAAGGTGTGACACAGCGATTTCCGAGAGAAGAGAGACAGACAAATTAATGGTTTTACTCAAGTACCTGTTTTCCATTGATTGATACGTAGTGATCCCTACAAGCCCGTTCGACGGCGTCGTCGTTTTCAAAGGACACGAATCCAAAGCCTACAACAGCAAACCAGAGACAAAGCAACAATACATACAGAATGGCAACACCAAATGGACAACTAACACCGTCACTACACCTCGGCAACGATCAACACCCATCTTCTCCCCAAAAGCCCACAGAGCGCCCTCGTCATTTTACGGCTGACAGGGACTCGCCAACATTTAGCGCAGACTCCTTCTGCCACGAAACGAGGTCAACGTGAACAGAAACGAACAGTCCACTCTTTACGACGAGAGCTACAGCAATACAAACATGATATAAAGAGTGTCTCTGTTGTCACGCACACGGGAATAGGCCGCGAAAAGCACGGAGAAAACTTATTTCATTGAGCAGACATTTATCCGAACACTGGCGTATATATCTCGCGGGTTGCTGGGCTAGGCATCGACGTTTGTCAAAAACTTCGCCTATATCCAATAATTGTTTTGATGGCAATAAAAACCAAGTGTCGCACTTGTAATCGTAAAATCCAACATTCGCTTCGTTCATGCCTCGCGCCAACCCACAAGTGTATGTAACAAACAGCAAGACCTGCTTATATGAACGACCAGATGGTTCACAGTTTCGTGGTAGAACAAAGTCGTCTTTAAATGTCGCGAAGGCTAAATGTACCTACATAAAAAAACGGTTGACGGAACTAAAAAACAAAAGACCAGGACGCTATTTATTTACGGGTGATTGTAGCAGTTAACTAAAACCGACAGAACGTTTTACGTTGTCGTAAAGAATGTCCTGCCTCAGCAAAGCCTGACCCCCTCCCCCCCACCCTGGTAAAAGCGCGGAACGGATCAGCCCGCATCGAGCCCATGTAATGCCGAGACTGCCGGGTGAGTGTGTGTGTGTTGCGCCTCTGTGTGCAGTAGTTGTTCTATAGCACTTCTTAGCAGTAGTAGCTCATAGCGAAGGTAGTACGAAGTAGAACGAGTACTGGTAGTGGCACGAGGTAGATACGTAGATAGTTTCCTAAATAAAAGCTGGTTAGTAACATACATTATATACATAACGGTACATACTACAGTAACCAGACAACAGTTATTCGGTTTGAACATAAATTCGAGGAAAATCAAGACAAAATTTTTGTCAGAAAAACGATAACTTGGGAATATCACTTTTCCCATTACTGCCCGTTGCTTAGGCGATTCCCTTGTCACAGACAAATCTGTTCGGCACTCCACCTTTAACGGAACTCAAGGTTCAAAATGCAGAAATCAGTCCGTAAGGGATTACGTATTTAGAAAAGTGAAAACGGAAAAGTTGTGAAACTGTTAGCGAATTTATGATCAAACTTTGTAACAATGTCCACTACGAAATACGTTTCTACTAAATTACTTAGGTTTAATTAAAACAAACTTACACTTAGTAGGATGGAAAGTGCCTAATACGAGGTAACTCACTGTGTAATTAAACTTGGAAGGACTAAACGAACCAGGGAACTAGGTTATCAAAAGGAAGACGACATGAAGTGCACTTTATACTTTATGAGTGGCTAACTCATTAGCACTAGAGCCAAGCTGCATATAATAATAACACGCCATATCTACGCCTTAGGTTATCTAGACAGAAATTATACCTCTATACTAGTATCAGTAACTATATCAGCCTAATTCGAATAAAGACTGGAACTACTATCAGATATAAGGCTACGGACATCGCGCACGTGATGTTGACTTTTTATGTGTACACGCTCAGCTACGATAGCTCCATATAAACAAACAAGAATCCAACTACATCCAGAAGTATTGCTGTCAAGGCGGGACATCATTTTCACACTTACCTCGAGACTTGCGGCGTTCCTGATCGTACATAATCACCACTTCGAACACCTGCATTTGTTTAGAACAAAACCAAGATAATTTTAAATGCCGAAACTATTAAGTATATTAGTCTAATTTTACGACAGTCGTCTTCTATATTAACATAAGCCAAGAATATAATTGCATATACAAAGGATTCTGCTTTTCAACAAAGGATATTACGACCTGTAGACAAAAAACAAGAAACACAGACTGCCAGCAACTTAGGTCTTCAACAAACCCATAAAACATTAAATGAGAAATAGATGCCATACCTCGTGTTTACAACTGATTAATGAGGACGACAGTTTCTCACTCACAACTATTACTCAGAAAATAGGTAAACGCCTGTATATTCCACAGTGAGAAACTAAACTTATTGTAAATAGAAATTAAATGAATTTCTAAAAAAGATTCAAGATACTTACGTCGCCATAGTGTTCCTGGAAAAATTGTTTCAGTTCGTTTTCGCTAAGCGATGTCGGCAATCCGCCAACAAATATCTTTGGATAGCCTCGACCGCGTTTGCCGCCACCTTTGCCCGGACCACCGCGTGGGTTGCATGGTTTCGGATCTACCACGCGGTTATCGATCCGGTGCGGCCCTCCTTGGCATACAACTTGCACAACCTAAAAACAACAACACGAACGCAGAAATATGCCCAAGTGTGCCGAGTAGATTAGCGGCTGAAATTATCAATACTCAATGGCCTTTTCATATATATATATATATATATATATATATATAGCTTAGCATCACTTTGCGGTGACTAAAACAGTGAGATTCTGGACCGAACACAGCGCCCTTCTCGAGATGGTAACAGTCGAAAAAATTGCACTCGAATAGTACAGCGATTTCAAAGAGATATAGGGGGACACACCTGAGGATCCTTAAACGTGACGAATCCGAATCCACGAGATCTTCCTTGATCGTTGGACATCACGACACAATCCACAATTTCACCGAAACGGCAAAAGTATGTTTGGAGGCCCTCCTTGGTCGTGTCCCAGGAGAGGCCTCCTACAAACATTTTGCTGTAATAAGAACAAAAATTCGTTAATGTGACGACTGATAGTATATGCTGCGTCAAACATGCATTACTCAGTTCGATCATTGCTCATTCGTTTACTCCTTAGAACTCTTCAATAAAATCACTTTAAACGGACTTTGGATCCTTCATCTCTTTTACACATTAATTCTATCAAAGCTTTTAGGGCAAGTCCCCAACGCCAATAAGACTTCAAACTCTTCTGGTTACGAAAGTTACGCTCCTCTGAGTATTCTCCTAAAACAAAATTTGTTTAATTAATAATTAATTAATAAGTAAAAAAATTGTTTGGATTCTTCAGCCAGCAAAAAGACACCCAAAACTATTTTTTAGCCCCAGAAAGATATTCGTCAGAAAGCTAATCACAAGGAGCGCCCGCCTGAACTCCCTCCTTGATTAAACAAACTACATACAGCACATCAAAACTGTCACTCCACTTCGCAAATGTGCTGCACACAAAATCCGAACTCTTCATATGAAATAGTATGTTTTTAATGCTATAACATAATAATGACATACTCGAAATGAATCCGTAGCTTAACCAACAAAAGTTTTCGCTCCATAAATTTTCTACAGACAATTAGGCAACAACGTTTATCATACCTCGTACTGTGATCGACCCACTACCAATGGACTCGGCATGTGATCTAGTAAAGTCCAAGTCTAAATAAGGCGCCTCTATTAATTCACAACCATCCAAAAACTTGGCGGTCAAAAAACATTTGTAAACGCTCCCCATTTCAGTGACAATTATCACTGTGAAGCTTACTAAAACTCAGACAAGACAGTTATTTACGAGAAATAACATATACATCAACGCGTTCAAACCAAAATTCTCGATCTATGCTTACTTAGCCGGCACTAGCGACTTATTATCAACGTTATTCAATTTATCTAGCCGAATAAAACGTGTTAATTGTACACATAACAACGATTTTGACTTAGTCGCGTGCAAAGAAAAACATACAAAAAGCTATATCTATTGTTGTTATTGTGGCCAGTCGTGTTTTCGTGCCAAGAGATCATGACGATTTCACGTAAATTGATCGAGCCGATAGGCCAACCCACCGCATCGCAAAGATGGCAGTTATCAGATTCTGCTGTAGCAGCCAGCTCGGGCTGTCGTCATAACGCTTACGACATGCCATCTTCCTCTAGAGTAAGCACATCGCCAACGAAACGCCGGTGCATGTGCATTAAAAGCGTATCGCTGAAAATTACTCCACTCTCTGCATCAATACGAGCAGAAAGCATTTCTATCATTATTAGATAGTATGTTTGCCCTACAATATCATAACAAATTACCATATACCTAAAAAATAATTAAACGTGCATGAGGTGTGTAAACTTGACTCTACTTAATTCTATGCAAGTGCTCTGTTCCATGAAGCATTCTAAAACGATTCGCTCGCCGGCTCCAGCAACATGGGCAACGGCAGGCGAATCAATTCACGTCGCAGATATAATTTCGCGCAATTTCGTCAAACAACCTTAGTTTTGGAGGGCAATCACTGCCCGCAAAAGCATACACTTTGCGCACAGAGAATACCGACGTTCATTAGATGACCAAAGGGTACCACAATTCGACAGGCTTTTTCGTGCAATTAAATCAAGAGATCAAGCCGTTTTGGGCTAGTCGGGCCATTGTATATACACCGCTAGACTCGTCGAGTAATCGCCTCTTGCGGCGTTTTGGCACCTAACACGAGTGTCGCGCGAAACTGGTCATCCTAACGTATCCACATGAAGTGTTAATGTAAAACACTTACCAGAGGACTTCTTTGTCATCCACCATCCTGCCCGTGGGCACTTGATCGCCGTAGGAATCAATATTTGCGCCAAATAGGTCCGACCCGGTATCGCGTCCCCACGCTAAGCCTAGACTGGACGCCGTTTGCTGGTTTCGAAGACAAAAGACACCACCACACTGACTCCTGACGTCATAACGACTTGTAAACAACCAAGATGGCTGCAAGGGGGCGCTGGCGAAGTGGCGCCAATTATTTCAATGTTCGAACACAGACGCTGACCATCATGGAGAGGGAATAAGGAAACTCAATTTGAGAGTGATGCCTTACGGGAAAATGTGGTGTAAATAGATTCACGTGACGGTCAATCGCAAACGACGAGAAATGTGAGACCTAGATATTTTAAATTGGCTTGACAAATGAGAATGATGATATTTGAGTCTAGACACCAGCATTTCCTAAGACTGGGTTATATTCAAGAGTCGAAAGGAGGAACGGCCGGAATATATACACGGACACACACACACATAAACGGGCAGTATATTATTGTGTTTCGCCATTTGCAGGTATATTATGGCTATAGTAAATTTTCGATTAATGGGAGCAACGCAGTAATACCTGCCGCCAGATATTAATGCGTCCTATGCCCTCGAAGAACTAGTAAAAGATGTCCGATGTCAGATCAGTGAGTTCACTGGCGTTTGCGCGGAAACAACATCCAAACACGATAAAAAATGATAATCAGCTGGCGGCTGGACTTTCTGTTGTAACCGGCGAGCTACCAGGAAACGGATTTTGCGTTGTTTTGACGAGGACATCACAGAAGTACAGAAATAACAGTGAGCTCCGAATCAACAGTACTCATGGGTACCAGACAGAACTCCCTGGTCGATTGGAAGATCGGAATAAACTCTGTGCCTACCTTGTAACTCAAAGGGGAGATCCTGTCATTCAATGTGATGGTGGTCATAGGAAACGCTTTCGTCGGGAAATTCTGCCGAAGCTTCAACTAGATGATGTCAAAGTGGAAGTCAGAAAATGGAGGGGTTCTTCCGATCGCCATATAGAGGACATGTTTGCCAATATGCAACGCACAAAACCAGTGAAAGTTGCGAGCGATCGTGATTTCGAAAAAACAGCAGTGGTAACAGCATCCCCAGCACGCTCAAGCAGTACTTCAAATACCCAAACCGTGGATAGAAAGAGACACGCCAAAGAAGCCAATATTTTATTAAAGCAATTTGAAAAAGCTAAAGCAAAAAAGAACTGTTGTAAAGAAAGCCGACTGAAAGACCCGATAGTCCTCACTTCAGTAGATTCTGACAATCATACTATAAGAACTAAAGCGGACTCACCAGGGAGTCTTACTGCCGACGATCAGACGGAAAAAAAAAGTTCGGACAACGAAAATCCTTCACAGGAGTCACAGACGTGTGACTCCGATGACTTAAGTACCAACAAAAAGCTTGCCCTAAAGGTTCTGAATAATCGGAAGACCTAGACTCGTCCATCAAACCTCAGAATTATTATCAGCCGTAAGTAAGAGGGATGAATGTGAGGCGCTTGCGGTAAGTAGCCACAACACAAAAAATAAACGCAAAGGGTGAACATTTAAAGCGCATTTGAAGAATCCGATGGTTAAGGTGCACCTAGATAAAGAGGACAATAAAGTACTTGTTCCAGGATCGTTAACTCATCGATTGCCCTGAAATAACACCAAAACCAAGGACGATGGACCGCCACTGAAAACATCAAGATTGAACCATGCTCAGAAGTTCCATTCAAGGAAAATATAAACGAAGTCGGGGCCGAGTCAAAGCCGAGGGATGTTTTTGTAAAGGAAATTCCTCATGTTGTTAGCAACGATACTGAAGAATCCGAAAAGAATGATCACGAAAAGAGCGCACAGTCTAAAAAAAATTTTATAGAGCAAAAAATCAACCAAAAAAATCCAATGCAATAACAACAAAAAAGAAAACTTCTAAAACGAAAGGCCCACAGCCCAGAAAACTGAATGCGTTTCTTAAAAAAAGTATGCCTAAGTTGGAATCGGTCTTGGTCTTCTAAGGTAAGGAATAGAAAACCCTATAAATCTATTTCACATGTACCAGATGTGATGGAAACATACAACTGTGTTCATATTGTGGCTTAAGTAGTGAGTCGAACAAGTCAACAAAAACCTGTATAGTGAACAGAAAACCCTATAAATCTATCACACATACATATATTGGATTAGAAAGCACGCATATATGTATATGAACTTGTATAAGATGTCCTGTTACTTTATTTACTTGTTGAACGCTACCTGATAAAGGTGAAACGCTATCTGATGAAGGTGAATAAGTTTGATTGATTGATTATTTAAATTACTGATAACGAATCTGGTAGATTCGTGGCTGTGGCAACGTTTAGAATACAAGGAGTCAATGATCTTTATTCTCAGCAATTATCTATTGAGATTTAAAAATAGGAATTCGCAACACTATATCTATAGACAACTAAAAGAACCTCATAAGGTCTAAAAGGTGCCCATTTGATTTAGCCACCAGCGTCGTGAACGGACATCTGAAAACTGTACTATCAAAAAGCTCTTGTTGTCTTAGTGTGTTAGCTCACAAATGCCGTTTGTCATGCGAACGACTTGTATATGCTAAACAATTCGTACGAATGATATTATTATTAGTTAACCTTACTAGTCAGGCAAACCTTTTTTAGTGGTAAGAATTTTACCATGAAGACTGACTCGAGACTGGAGAGTTCCCCACCGCGACCTACAACAGATAACAAATACTTTGTTTTGGTAGGATATGAAGCGGAGCCCGTGTTTAAAAACCAAATATTTACACTCCATTAGCTGACAATCAAACTTTTAATCAAATAAAAACACGGGCCTTAAATAGCGCATTTATTATGTTTGATAATTATTTACATTATATTCTCACTTCCTGGCTATGTCCTTCAAGTTGTTCTGCGTCTAGTCGTCCTATTTATTGTCGCCCTTGTTTAGCCTGTCTCTGAATACTCACTCCTTCGTCACCTTTCCCTCAGTTTCGCAAATTCTGGTTGGGATTATGCGACTCAAGAATATTCCTATGATTAAATATAAAACGATGCTTTCCAGCCGTTCTCCCCTGTGTCGTGAGTAGACTTTCTTTTATCGATTTTAAATTTTTTATCTATGTCCGTTTCAGAATTCAGACTTTATTTTCCTCCGTTCTGGAGAGCTTGGACTGTGAGTAGCCTTCAGTACCTCTCAGACCTTTAGATTAACAATGTTGTTCTCGATAAAAAACAATGCCATTATATCTCTCTTTCATTTTCGAAGGTTACCTAAAAAAATTTAACATTGAACATAAACAAATGTATAGCCAAGAATAGTTAAAGGCTGAATTATGGTTGCTTTTGCACGCTGCGTTTAAAACTCAGCTTTTTTCACTTGCATTGCAGATATTAATATTTCATGGTAGGGTGCGATGTTTAGATATCAAGTTTCCAGCAATTCATTAAATGTCTTCTCTAATTTTTTGTTTCAACAATTTCTAATTTACATTTTCTTTCACTCAGTCCCTGCGCGAAAAAATCTTGTTTCCTGCGTGAAGACCTTGCTTGTTGCGCTCCCCGGGGACTACCCACTGCGCCTATACACAAATCCCAAGAAATAGGATTTTACTCTGATCAAGCGCTTCAATCTTATAATCTATATGTTAAATGAATACGCACTGCAACAACAGAAACTGACATTAGATTATACAACATATGTGCCCAGTCTGTCCTTGATTCTTTCTCCATAGTTCAATGGGATGAGAAAAACCCAGATCGTTAAAGTCTGTGCTAATTTAACATTTGTTCTTGAAGTTGAAGGGTCTCTTGTTTTTTCAGCGAGCTATAAAACTCTTTTAATAAAAAGACCATTAACCGCACTGTATCTGCCCTGCGTATTTGCCTTCCGTGCGTATTTGCCTTATGATTGACTTCATACTTAGGTTTTAATCACCATTGCCATTTTCTTTCAGCCCAAATAAACGTTAATAATAGCAAGTCCATTGAACGAACGCCAAATCTCCACTAAACCGCGTTTCGCCGTGCATTCGTATTATTGTAGTTTCGTATTATTGCAGTTGCGAATAGTGTTACACATTTTCGTTCGGATTACATTATTGTTCAAAAAGCACGGTCCTGTAAAGAGATCAAGCCTTTTGCTTTTCCGGGCTACATGTGCTGGGGCGCTGACATCGGTGGCTGAGACGCTGGTGGCGAGAGTTGGGTTAACTGTTCAGTTTCCCGAGAGGGGACCGCGCCAGAATTATCTTCGAGTGCTGTTTGAGGAAGAACCGTACCGGCTGGGGGAGAGGTCCTACTAAATACCTGCTGGAACGTAGCAGCAGGTAGAGTGGCCGATACTGTGATAGGTGGCATACCGGGTAATGACAACGGCGTAGTGACCGCGGTTGGCTGGAAAGCGGACATATCTGTAAAGTCAAAAAGAAAAAGGCAACGATAACAGGTTATGTAAAAGACAATACTGAAGAGAAGAAAATTCTCGACCGTTGACTACGGACTCTCCTAGTTGTCACCGCGTGCCTGAATTGATGTGTGCACGCATTATCACACTGTAAAGTATACATGAGACACGACAGTGGAAATATTTGCCAAAGTCATGTCGGAAAATGGATTTGATTCACAGAAGTAATTATTCAAGGAAATAAAGAACAAAGTTTAATATTGATAATTTTCGAGTGTCTAGAACCCAGGTTATCATCTGCAATTCTGCACAATTCTAATATTTATAAGTAAGTTCACACAACATACGGGCTTCGGGTAGCATTTCAGTTATATTCATATTACCAGCTCAGGTATAATGAAAATTACGGCGTCACCGCAAATTACCGCATTGACTAGAATGAGCTAGGGTTACATTAAATTATGGAACCTTCTTATTATTACCATCAAAAACCTAGTCTTCCCTCTCGAATGCGTCGACTGGCATCAAATTATGTGTTAGCTATCATACACCCCTCTGACCTACCCGTAGAATGAGACCAGCGATTTTCACTCAAGATCGCCAACATGTTCTTCGAACCGCTTTATCAAAACAACTCCATGCGCTTCCATATTTCAATCAAAACAAACATAAAACCTATAAAACAAACAAATACGCGGAGAACTAATTGTTCTATAACTAATTATTCTGGCCAATTAATTACGCCGCTTTCTCACAAAAAAAAAATATAGTTTTTAGCCACCTCTCATGTCAAGTCTCGAATGTCAACTCATAGTCTCATTAATTTTCTATATATATATATATAATATACTCATCACCTAAGTATGTGATTCCCGAACCCTACTATCAGGTGCCCAACACCGCTAGTGAAGTATATACTTGCACACCGTGCAGTAAGAAGTAAGTACGTGTGCATACCTACAAGAAGCGCATGAAAACAAAGAAATCACATAGACGCATGTAAGGCTGCATCGTGCAATGAGAAGCACAAAACTTCTTCCGCCTTTTCTTCGCTGGGTCTCATTTTTCAATGAGGATATTTTTATTGACTGAGTTTGAGAGGACTGATCAGTTCAAGACAGTTAAGCACACTACTTATATAAACTAATACATGCGCTGCTTTACAGTACGTTATCTGGAGGTTCAAACCAAAAACAATGACAGATGGGTGCAGTTCGTTTATTTACGTGTAAGATTGTGTGTGTGTATATGTGCAGTAGGAACGATAATAATATATGAGGCATTTTTCTCTAAAGCTTTTTCTGTAGGCTGGCAAAAATCGAAAGCACAGTTTCAGATATTCTCAGTATGCTGGTAATACTAGAAATACACACCCACCTATGGAAATCGATCTGACGGCGTTATCTGTATCTCAGAGAAGAATAGTGGAATGTAGATCGTAAGTGGAGTATTCAACCGCACGCAACAACGGCAGCGTAAATCAAAACAAAAACAAAACATTTAAACGAAAAATGTAACTAAATAAGGTCAATGAAAGATATCTAGAAACGTCATTATAAAAAGAATTAAAGACAATATAGTGGCAAATTACCTGTGAAAATCAAACAGTATTTGTATTATAAATATAAACAATAACAACCCAGTGAACCGAACATTCGCACAAAATATAATTATTTAGAGCTACTAATCGCACTATTTTATTAGAAAACAGTTACATTACTATGCGGAGCAGAAAACTCCGAATAAGCTCAAGTCACCATTAAAATGAGTTATCCTCATTTCCTTTCTTTGCAAAAAATATCATTATAAGAGTGAAATTTAAGTCAACAGCAACAGATAAAACAGCGCTTATAACTAACATACATATTAAGCATAAAATTACCACGTGAGGGACTTCCGAGGCTAAGACAACGAAAAATAGATAAAGTACCAAACAGCACCGATCCGTCATCAGTCGGTACAAAGCAATCGATCACGTCGGGACACAGCAAACAAATCGTACTAACCAAACAAGGGGGTGGCCGTAGGTGGTCCAATGGATTTTTGAGCCGTTGGAATCGCCGTCGGAATCTGCCCTAGGTCACCACCTGCTCCAAGGGACTGCGCCGACTCCTGGGCTGGCGTTGTAATGTTGAAACTGTCTAAAACGTTTTGCGGCGTAAACGTCCGATTAGTTTCGATGGGGTTGTGGTATGGCGCAGCGCCCTGCGAGATTGTTCCAGATGCAACGGAACTTGGCGGAATACCTTGGAACGGAACCTGCTGAGATGATGGTATCAATGGTGGGATGACAGGTGTCGTCCCACTAACAGCCCCAGTCATGTCGGTACTACTCTGTAAAGGAAGTTGTTGTTGCTGTTGGGGGAGCGGTGGAATGGCTGCAGCAGAGACAAAATTAGGTATGAGCTGCCCGTTAGTAGGAGGTGCTGAAGTCTGGAAGAGGGCCGAGGCAGTGGAGTTCGGTGCCATCGTCAAAGACTGAGAAACAGCTAACGGTGGAATCGGAGCTGGAGGGGCTGGTCCTGGGGGCGGTATTTGCTGCCCATCGGTAGTAACTGCAAGAATAGAGTTGACGTTGATATTAACGGGAATGTGGAGAACAATGAAGTGCCGTTAAATCCGTAAATCCTCGATCTCTGTAGCAATTTCTTAACCAATCGCCACTACTATACCGACAGTTCAAAGACAATACCAAAAACGATCACGTACTCGGCACGGGAACCGGAGGCGAAGGCGGACTTTTTAGCGACATCCCGTCAAACTGCTGCATTAAGGGGTTCACTATAGGAGCTTGTTTTGTACCCGGTGGAACTCCCACACTCTGGTACGTCTGTGAGGGCAGCATGACAGGCTGCTGGGGATGATCCTGACCCATGTGACCACGATTATATTGTTCCAACTCTAGTTGCGCCTGTAACATCCAAACATGCTGAGGTTTACTGCAGTAATGATTTAACTAGCAAAAAACGCTTATTTCAATGAAACAGTATGTAAAACTAAATTTACTTCCACAAACATTTTACTAATGCGTTTATAGTTGACTGGAAAATATATATCAATACTTGTGTTTTTCGTTAGTTTGCAAAACGCAACACCTCCTGCATTGTTTCAAGCTTCCCGCGCATTTGTTTCTACTGACCTGCGTCAACTGTTGAGCTCCTGACGGGTTAATGTAACTTGCCTCCCCAGTGGTAGTAAGTTGCGGTCGCTTCTCCTCGCTCATGGGGTCATCTCGGATCGGGATCCGATGCAAGAGTCCATAGCCTATTCCACATCCGAGACTCCCGTCGCCACCCCATCCGCGTTGTGGTGTGATGACCACCTCCCGACACGCATCAGTGTCTGAATTGTACACGTACAGTTTGAGTGCGCGGCCTTCATGTGCATCGATTAGCGTAAATAGGTCTTCCGGCTCGTGCAGGATGGAATCCGCACCAATAATAAAATCGGTATTCGATCGCAAGCCAGCGAGGTCAGCCGGCGAGCCAGGAGTGACATCCTAAAAAACACGAAGCAAATTTAATTGGACGAATTGACCACTTATCTGTTCAAAAAATTAGAATGATTGGTTAATTTACTAATTTAGTTAAATCCTAAAAATACTCAGAATAAATAAACCAAGAACGTATCTTGAACCGGTATATCTACTTATGTGCGTATCAGAACATCTCATCAAATTATAACTAACGAGCGCCTTACCAGTACATGCCAAACAATTTCATTAGCTCCTTCAAAAGAACAAAATCGAATGGAGACGCCGAGCAGACCCTGTCCTCCCCATAAAGTCGATGGCACTATTTGTACTTCTCGAACGCGTTGCGTCTTTGAGGAGTAGACTGTCATTCGTAGAGGTTTCTCTACTGAAGACTTCAGTATGTCTTTTAGTGTATCATTATCCTGGTTCTGTAATAATAATCACAGGGAAGCGTAAGTTTAATGTAAGTCAAATAATTATGAACAATCGATTGCAAGCTCTTTTTCGTTGATTACTTAACCATTATTCGTAGTTTTTTTGCACGTGTCCATGGTCTTCTCAGACGGTAGCGCATTTTAGATGACAGGAGGGGCTTTGAGAACTCTAATCTGCAACTGTTTTCTAATGCTTCGTTTGATCATTAAAATTTAGAAAACTATCGCCGTATTTATAAACCAATATCATTCCTACGCAGAAAACTCTTGGTAAAATGAGCAAGAGTGACATCAATATGCAAGCTTTAACCATAAAGCCTGAGACATGACTAAAGTAAAAGCTAACATCGATAAAGGATTATCTTGTTACGGATGGCTGCCATAAACTTCTGGTGTTTGAAGCCATCGCGAAGAGTGCACCCCGCATGTCTGCTTAATGGCACGTTAATTATAGCCAACCTATTAAGCCTTCTTAATGTTATTACAGATGTTAGTATCGCAGTGTTCCCATAACGAACCAAACAGCTAAATGTCGTCTGGTTTAAACAAATAATAATTACATTAATCTAATAATATAAGAAACCCGCAAAAAACCAGAAGTATATAATGTCACGCCTATATGATGTCACACGATACAATCTGGAAAAACAGTTTAATTTAATCAAGAATTATTTAACAAATGCTGTAAACCTTTGAGTAAAAGATAATATAAACTTTCATAATCGTTGGGTACTCACCAGTCTGGTAGATCCTACAGCCACAACATAGTCAAAAAAAGCTTCTAACCCAGCTTTTTGGCCCGGAGAGTTATCTTGAACCTGCAAATACATTCAATTTGATCGTATACAAGACACCAGAAACAGTTAGGGTACTCCACAGAAAGCCAATCGAGTTACTTTAAAACAGGCTTAAATATCGGCCATGGACAGCCATCAATTAGCGTTCGAATTTTTAGACCATAAAAGGAACTCGAGCCAGAGGATTGAAAAAAAGACTCAATCTTTGCCTAATAAAATACATAGCAGCAAATATAGAACAATATGTGCGTCATCTGCCTGCTAATTATGTTGACTTACGATTTCCGAGTTCCGAAAGAAATCTAATAGAACGCTAATACGATGCCCTGAAAGCATTACAGCCGTCTCATAACATCTTAGGTGAAGCGACGGCAATATTCAACTGTCTTGGCTTTGATTTTTACCATAACTATAGTGTACATTTATCGGGCTATTAGAAAAAGAATTTACGTTAAAAACTACGCGTCAGTTCACTTACTCAGTTTCGGCACATTTACAATTGAAAGTGACAGTTAAGACCGAACGATTTGCTAGTTTCAAGAACATCTGTGCATGCGAATTTTTTCGCGAAAGACGTTCCAAGCTGACGCCTGCTAGGCCCACGTATATCGCAAGGTTTTTCTCGAGTTCTGTACTCACCCTCAGAATGTGGTAACCCTCAGTTCCGCCACCGGGAACAGGGTTGCTCTGGCCCGCTCCCATTGAAAAGTTCACAAAAACCGCACTAAAATATGCCCCGAGTGCAGCGCTCCAAATTACGTGGCAAAGCACAGATGTTCTGATCCATCGATAGCAGACCGGCTGATCGTGTTGCCGGCCACTGTCCTGAGGTATTTTGATGCAAAATCGTTTTGCAGGAAACGTAAATTGTATGCAGAGACATTTGTTGTTTTTGGAATAAATCTGCGTGATTGAATTAGCAAATAAAAATAAAAATCCAACAAAAAGTAAGACATTTTGTCAAAATTTAAAATATAAGGTCCTTCGGAGCGTAGGTCTGCGGCTGTACACACGACAGCGAGCAGACGATGGACAGTTTCGCGCCTTTCCCCTCACCGAGTTTAATGAGACAATACGGACACAGTTTCTCAGTGCGAACTGAGTTTTGGCGGGCATTGTTGGCGCTCCGTTTGCTCACGCTGGTGGTATCAAGGAAGGTTGTCATCTGCATTCTCACCTGCACTCCGTAGTTTCAAATTTAATTTCTACGCGACTGACGGCAAAATTCGACACACGTAGGACAGAAGGTATGCAACAGTGAAAGACGTAAAAATTAATAGAAGTTCACACGTTTCAGAAACTTTCTGAAACTTAATTCGGCAGAAAGATAGATTCGTCACCGATAAATGCCGCAAGCCGGTCGGCCAGAAGGGCATTTAATAGTACCATAATAATGCTAGCTGGATTGTTTTTTAGCTGATTGGACGTAAATGGGGCCTAGCAGTTCAGAAAAGTTATCTACAAAATTTTTGAACCACGGTACAGAATAGACGTTTAAGCTTAAGATAAGTATGTACCGTTCGTGACAAAAAGATTCGCTTAATGGATTGAGTATCCAAAAGGACTTGTGAATTTGTTTTTTGTATTTCGAATGGTCGGACCGTTCCTATTCGGCGTCCTAGCGTACGTACGATTCATTTTTATAGATACATCAGGGCCACAATAATCGATGGATAGTTGGAGGCAGCATTGGCAGGAACTAGTCACAGTCAACCGAACTAATATCTATGTAAATGCTCAATTCACATGGTGTAACCGTTGAACTATGCTTTAACTGTTTTAAACCATTTTAGGCATTTCTAGGTCATTTACTAATATTTTTATCTTGAAAAGAACTATTTGCATAACTCAGAGGCCCCATCACATGTTCTTCAGGGATTTATAGATAGTGTTCACAAAATGACATTTAGATTAAAAAGTTTTGTTAATTATACTTATTCTCCAAATTTTATCAATAAGCTTCTAAAGCGTTGCATTTTTTTATCGTATGTGCTTTTGTTAATTAAGGACTGCAGAATGCCCTGCCAAACCACTTTAAATCCATCGGTACGGAAAACGCGTTCCAGTGCAAAGGCGTTGAAGGAGGTCGCTGCTGAAGTAGCAGTCGGAATTGAGCTTTCGTCGCCGAAGTCATCTGGAAAGATCAGGGTCCGCGACAGTCGGAAGGCCGAGCAAGAGAATGGTAAGTGCAAAATGAGTGTATTGTATACTATACTACGCCTGTAATATTCCAATCTTATTCAGGGCAACATGAAGCATCATCAAGTTTTTGTATATTGTTGATCAACCTACTATTAGTTAATCTTTTGCTCGGCTTCAACGTTGTTCCTATGTACGTTTAGGCTTTTCATGTTACTTTGAGGGTGATTCATATTAATCGTAAAAAAACAGATATTGGTAAACTGAGCGCTATGAGCAGCACGGTTCATAGTACATGGTGATACACGTGGCAAAAAATAGAAGGGGTATACTGCACGCAGGTGGCGCCATAATCGATGATGTTGGCCAAGCACGCATATTTTTGCCTCTCCTCGAAAAATCCGTCTGGCACACTATATAAACGGGATCAAGGTAGCTATTAGTTCTTTTTGTTCGAAAACGTCGTTACAATGGGTCGCCCCAGACGTTCTACAAGGGGCTATTGCCACATCTGCAACCACGTGCCGAACACCCATACGAAGCAGATACTTCTAGGTAAACGTGTCGCTCATTAACGTATCGACACGATTCTGTGGCTGATACTGTGCATTGCTTCTAGAAGATCGCTGTTCATTCTGTAGCCTAATCGAAATTGTTATGAGAGTGGTATTTTGTCTATTAATTCTTATATGCATATAGATTTTCAAGTGACATTTTTTCCGCTTGACGTAATGCTCCAGCCATGAACTGTTGAAGTTTCGATGCAACAGACACACTACATTTTTGCACCTAATTTGTCGTAAGGTTCAGTGAAAGTGCCATTATGTTTGCGTGTATGGTGTAGATCTGAAAATCCGAGACAAAATGCCGTATCGATGTCTTAGCTTGTTCTACCGAATCAGTGCAGTATCGGCAAAAAGAAGCAGTTGTTATAGCGTGGAACAATTTTTCATTATAAGTTAGAATCCATAGATCTTCTTAAATTTAAAGCTCAAGGCAAAAATTACTATATGTATTCGTGATCTCGACCTGCATAGCAACGAAGCTTAGGTAGGGGATCTGCGACGGGAGTCCCCCCGTGTGCTGCTAAAATTGATAAGATGTAGAGTGTATATCTTAAACAGAGAAGTCGTCGGTACGCCAAAGTCACTCACGAACTCCTGCTTCTATGGTCTTTCTGGGTTCGATTATTATGATCTTCACCGAATGTTACACCAAATGGCCTAGCTAGGTTTGCCTGCACGAGCTGTATAGTCATTTGAAATACTAAGTCAAGATTATTATATTTCATGATATGCCTACCAACTTCGCGGCAGCTAAAAGCCCACCTCGAGTCGCTATCAACGGAAGCCTTGCTGTAGCTAAGGCCAATTCTACAGTGTATAGTCAGGCACGACACTTGCTGCATACGCAGCTCACGGACGTGATCATCGGGAGAGATAACGAAATTGCTGCCCTTAAAGGATTCATCGAACCTGCACTAAAAAACAAAACCGCACTTAGCCTCTATATTTCGGGTTGGTGTACTTAAGGACACTATCGCGTGCCGCCGGCTTGAGCCATTATTCATTATGTATGACTATAAGATTTCTCTGATTTATTTACTATATTATGCTAAACCCGCGTAATCAACTCAGTTTGCATATAATTCCCCCATAGGCAAACCGTACTGTCAACATCAAGACTCTTTTTTATAAGCGTAAAGCATTTACAGAGTAAATACACATGGCAACATGGTCAACTAGTGAGTGTGTCGCTATTCTGAATACGAGCCAAAATTTGGTAAGAACTCGCTATTTTTATTATCCTATCGAATCCGTCACTTGTTTTACGAAACCGTAGAAAAAAAAAGGGTTTTATAAGTAATATAGACACCCCCAGTTTTAGGTCATATTATAGCACTAATTTAGCGAAACTGTCACTAAGGGATTTTTTTGTTTACCTAACCTTCGATACCTCCCATTTATTTTGCAGGGGCCCCGGGAACCGGCAAGACTGTATCCTTGACATACGTTTTGGGAAATCTCGAAAACAAATACGACTTCAGGTCCGTATTCATTAATTGTATGACGGTCAAAAATGCATCGTCAATATATGCGAAAATTGCTGGAGGACTAAATTTCACCGGCCAAGATTTGGAAAGCGTACAGAAAGGTGTCCGAAAGCTGCCCTGTGTTGTTGTGCTCGACGAGGTTGATCAACTGCAAAGTTACAACCAACAAGTTCTCTACTCATTGTTCGAATTAGTTAAATTGAAGGACTCGAGGGTGGTTTTAGTCGGAATTGCAAATGCACTTGATCTCACTGACAAAACCGTTCCATTGCTTCAAGCGTATGGCTGTCGACCACAATTGTATCATTTTGCGCCCTATAACGACAAGCAGATTATCGATATTCTGAAGTCTCGTCTTGCTGAATTTTCTTCTATTATCAAGCCAGTGGCCCTCGCATTTTTGGCCAAGAAGGTTGCGACCTGCACCGGAGACGTTCGCAAGGCGCTGGATATCTGTCGGCGAGCTGTCGAAATCGTGGAGCGGCAGGTGCGCCAGCAACGCATTCTGATTGCCCGCGGGGGCCCTACCGCCAGTCCCCAGAAACAGATTCTAGTCGATATCAAGCACATCTCGGAAGTACTCTCTGACATATTCAATACTCGAGCTCGAGGCAACCAAGATCTCCATACAACATTGCCACTTCAGCAAAAATTACTCCTTTGTTCTATCCTGGTTTTCAGCAAGCGCCGTAAAGTTAAAGAGGTAACGATGGGCAAACTTCATGAAGTGTACAGTGGAGTGTGCAAAGTTGCAAAGGTTGCTGCCATTGACTACTCTGAACTTCAATCTATTTGTACGTTGCTTGAAGCACGGGCCTTGGTCTCGATCAAGAAGGCGAAGGTGGGTCGTCAAAGTAAAGTCAGTCTCGCAGTAGACGAGGCCGAAGTTGAACAGGTTTTGCAGGATAAAAGCATCCTAGCCATTTGCCTCGATGAGACGTTTGCAGTATGCTAAGCTTTAGAGGTCAGCGTAATACTGTAATCATTTAAAGCTATTAGCCGGATGCAGCTGCTCCAGAGGAATATTTGTTATATATATGTATAAGACAGATTTAGACTCAACTTCTTCTATCTAATCGAGGTTTAACACATAGTAGAACAATCGTGATTTCATTTAGCAGTCGAGGGATGCTTATAGGCATTGTAATAATAGGCAATTTATATAAAATTATTTAAATTGATTGACCTTCGAAAATAAGTTATCCATCTAGATGTACTATAAGCCATAAAACATGGAGCAACGATAAGTTTACGCGCGACTTGGCTCTAAATTATGTACACAAAATGGTATAACGGAAACAAAATAGTTTAAGGGATTCATTCCTCACATTGTATGATGACACCTTATGATTCGCTTTGTTTTTTGCTACAAGTCAATATATTAATGCGAATACACATATTACACAGTCGAATAATTGTGCTATTCACAACAGTAATGTTGATTTATATAGAGAGAAAACGTCGAAGAACGCTGACGTCAGGAGAAAGAGTACGTCCTCAAGGGGATTTCTTCATGGGGCTTAAGAACTCAGCAGGAGTTCAACGTAAGGATCGAAACGTTCAACTGAACACTTTGTATGTGCTTTAAGAATCTTGACGGTCATAATATTGTGAGCGACATGACGGTATCTGGATACGACTGATCTCCGGATGTATTGTATCTATTGTAAATAAAACTAAATGACTATGACTGAGTATGTATAAGAAAAAATGCGTATTTGATTCACCGAGTTTCTTAGGTTTTTTTGCTGGCTTTTTCAGAATGGAATTTTGGCAGAAACAGATATATATTTGTTTTTTGCGGTTTTCATGTTGGTTATGTCATTTGTAGCAACACTTCATGCAATGTCAATTAGCATAGCATTTTTGCTTTTTATTTCTTCATTTCTGTATAACTAAAAACGTACAAAATTTTTAAATACCGAAAAACTTGATTAAATATTCAAAGAGTAAGCAGAAGGTAAATGCGAGAAACATTTTGTGGAAATTAAACGTAAGTTATATAATGAAATAAGACTGGTGGCTCGCCAGCTACGAAGTAAAAGACCCCTGGCTTGAATCTTGCCACCCGATTCATACGCTTGTTGAATATTGAAAAGAGCCGTTGTAGACGCATAGTGTCCTATTGCAATGCCGCGGATAAAATATATATATATAGAACAAAAAATGTAAGTATAAAATAAACATCAGTTTATCATTCGGTGTCTTTCCCAGTCTTGCGCGCTCTTTTCAAATATTTCACTTTCTCTATAAAAAAAAGTGGCATGAAAATCGTCTGTGCTACTTTATCTGCTGATACACCTAAGCACGCGTACTTTAGCCTCTATTTGTTTTCGTGTACTTTTTAATATTATATACGATGCTTGCTTAAAGTAGTAAGGTGCCGTTTCGTTTGCACTGGGTGTTTTTCTTAGTGATTGAATTGTGACGTATTTAGTGACAAACCTATTGGATTTTGCGTACTGGTCAAAAAAAGGAAATGATAATTATTTACCTTAATTGACAAGCTACTTTATTTGGTTTTATTAAGAAGCAGATATTTGCTGCCATTGAATCTTAGATAATATAACGTCTCATATTGGGGTTGACTCGGCGGGCCAACTCTTGGTGTCGCGTTTGTTTTTGATTTGCTTATCCAAATGTTACCATTATGATGCAGTGGTAACGTGTTTGCCTGTTAGATTTAGAAATCGGCTGTAAACTCACCTCGTTTCTTACTGGGAGCCAGCCGCTCAAAGCAGTGATTAACGCAAGAAATCGACGCAATATTTTTGTGTCTAGTCGCGACTATACCTATGTACATTTGCATAGAGTCTCATTTGGTAAAAAAAAACTGCGCAGAAGAACCATCACAAAAAGCTAGTTTACCTTGGTCCCCACGTTGATACGTGCATAATAATGCTCGTGGCTGTTATTGCAATACTGTTCAACAGTGTGGCGATGGCGTGACGCCATATCTCTAAGCGCCCTTAATGTTAATGAGAAAAAAGTGTGGTTACCAACGCATTTGCTCCTTTGTCAAAGCATGAAAACCTAATTTTGGGTATACGATTGTGCATAGTATGTAGTTAATTAGCGAATTCGATTAATGCTAACAAGGATGCCCCTGCATAAACCCGTTGAAAAAAGATATCATTCAGTTCGTACCAAAATAACTTACGTCAGCAGCATTTGGACACGTACCTCTAACAATCGCCCCAAAAAAGCGACTTCTAAAACGCATTCTATATTAGAAAGACATCATTAGTGCTGACAGATAAAATAAAAAGTAGATTTCAAAAATAAGCATCCAAATGTTTGGGAATATGGTACAGAAGATTCGTATCGTAACAGTGTTTTGTGCTCTAATAATTGATCTCTGAGGAATGGGTTTACATTATAGAAGGTTCCTGATGTCACATACCGGATTTTAAAATTGATAACCTATAGTTTCAGGTGTTAAAATGTATAAAATCAAATCCAAATATTTTTTGTTTTTACAGTTTTCAAACTTTGGCATATTGAGAAAAACTCCTAATTCCTGCTCAATTTTTCTTTTCTGAAACTGTTATTGTTCTTATTGTTATTTATAAATCAGCTACTTTTCTGCGGTTCGCGATCGTCAAATACAGCCTTTATAGGTGATTATTACCTAGGATGTGCTGATTCAGTATTTGGTGGCGCACTTTTTATAGAGAAACCATGAAAGTTGTTGCTTGTGATGTCGGTACTGGTCCGCTGTTTGACCCGAGTACTGCGACGACGCACGGAACCTCGCCAAAATAGCGGCTTCAATTCGTTCCAAACCTGAAACAATCAAGGTAAGTTACGCTGTGCCTTTATTTTGCCTGAAGATTTCAGTCTATTTCGAATAATAGTATTGCGTTTAAATCGTGAGCAAAAAGACCATCCACGACCGAAAAGCGCAGCCCTCTAATGTTCCCTTGCATTAAGCATGGACTAGCAAAATTCTAATTTAATGCCCTGTACATGTGTATAGATCAAATGAACGTGTTCAGAATACTAGTATTATAATAAAGGTTATAAAGTAAATATGCTTACTGACAGTTATTATAAAGTTAAACACGCATAGAAAAAATCAAAGCTGCACAATCGTCGCCATAAGTACGAACACTCGCAACGATTTAACGGTTCCTTGATGCTTCCGTTAATTAGACATAACGCATAATTTTTTTATTCTTCGACATACCTACCTTGCGTTTACACGTAAAGGCAACAAAGATGAAGACCCCCTGTGCGCCTCCTAACACGAAAAACGGATACCACAACCAAGAGATATCAGTGAGGGCAGAAAGCACTCCGAAAAACCACGTAAATCCCAAAACCACCACCAGTCGAATGTACAGTTTAAGGCGGGTCATTTCGGTTTGGTAGCCAGACGGATTCGTACGGAATTTTTCGGATCTCGTCTGTACTTGTCGAACCGTGTATGCGGTGTAAACAAAGAGCATGAAGTTGAAAAGAAGGATCGTAACAATAGGTGCGACAAAAAACGCCATCAGTCCGTATCTTGAACCGATCCAACAAACTTCGCGACCATATCGAGGCGCATAACGACTGTACGGTGAAAATCCATCGTAGATTACGGACGAGCAAACGATAAGAGCGGGGCAGAAGATACCCAGTATACTGTATTTTATCATTAGATAGGGACCACCCGTTGCATTAAACACGTTTACTGCTAGACATCGACATGAGTCAAGAGCCATGACAAGCATCCAGAAAAAGGAGGCAAGATAAAAGTAATGTGCCATAAGCCCGATGCTGAAGCACATGTAGGTACCAGGTTGGATATCGTCCTTAATCAAGAACATTACGTGACCTAGTAGGATGGTTAATGAGAGGGACATAACGATTTTTCCAGGCCGTGTCACGCGTAGGGTTGGGATCAAAAGATAGACAATCAGTTGAAGAAGCAAACAAACCGAAGATGACATAAGACAGACTTCAGCCACCAATTCCTGCGCAGGATTAAGAGACACGGTGATCGCAGTCTTCAGGCAAACCCGTACATGAGTTGGGACGCCACTCTTTGATGTGATATTTGAGTATTGATTGAAGATCTGCTTTGAGTCTAGTAGCATAACCGAACCATTCATCATAAACTTTACCCATTCGGCCTCAAGAGTCAAATAGAAACATCCCACTTCGCCCTCCTGAGAGACACAATGAGCTCCGTTCCAAATCCAGCCGGGCTGACACAGCACAGGACTGCAAAAAGAATTTAACACAGCTACCTCGCCGGGTTTACAAATAAGCTTGTTGCGATACGAATTAAACATGTCCCCTTTCTTGCCAACTGGAGTCGTACGCTCCTCGGGGAGAGATGGCAAGCCGGGATTCAACCTGTTAAGGGGTACACCTCTGCAAAGTGCGCAATGCGCATTTTGATACGCATCTAATGTATCTGAGTGTACATAAGCAGTATAAAGAGGGCAGTACTTTTCCCATTCCTCCACGTCTGGATCAACTTCGAGGTTCTCATCACGAAGGGGACAATCTTCAATAACCGGCACCTCAGGACACAGTCGCGTATTGAAATGCGCAGAAAAGTTCCCCCAATCGTATTCCTCGGCGTCGACTGTGAATTTATAATCACTTCCATTGGCAGCCACGATGTATTGGCGAACTTTTGGGTCGTACTTCCATTTGTTAGTCAAACGAACCACCGACCAAGTGTCAGGCGTCATTTCCTCACTAAACCACATGTATCGCTGCTTCCAATGATAAATATCTCCACGAGCCTCCTTAATATTTGAAAATGGCATATTGCACAGCACACAGTAGATATTTTTATATAGGGTACGACTCTTGAGGTGGAATTGGGGCTGATCTATCAGGTGAGAAACGTTTTCCATGTGCTCTGGATTCTCTTCGCACCGATACTTTGCAAAGGTTGGATCATCTCCATCGTCTTCCCCACAGCCCATTTTAGTATAGAAAAACCGAAGTCCCAGTTGGCTGCAGTGATATCCCTGGCGTTCCTCTTTTTTGTCACGGATGTCCACATCGACACAACAGTCGCCATAGCGTGAACACTGACTGTCGCAGAAACACAGAGCGGTTCTTAATGACACGGGTGTCGGGGCACGTATATTATCTCGGAGGCAGAGGTACTGCTGGCGGTACAACTTACTAAAGTCCCTCTGGACCGCTTCTTTGATATCATGCTGAAGCTGATCAAAGGCAGCGAATGTCCTATAAATTACCAGAATCAACAGAAGGCTCATCAGCATCATTAGGTAGTGACTAAGTGAAGCGTTTGTCCTCATAATAGTTAACGTTATTATATAGTCAACAAGGAGTAACGAACCTTCATTAAATCAACAAACAAGTTTGGCAGAACTCCTGCTATCGACCTGGTGACTAGTCGCACTAGTGCGAGAAGGAATAGATTTATTGATGCTAAAACTAGCGTCGCTGAACGCAATACAAGCACCAACGCTCAGTGATGCGCGATACCTGTGATGCGCTTTAAGAGGCCCTTAGCCTAATAGAAAGTCCCATCCTCTGTAGTAAAGAAAAATGCCAAAACCTAAGATCTCAAAGGGGTGCAGCAACTGTTCTCAGAATATTTATGTATCTAATGCAGTTTAATATATGTGATATATATATGATAAAAGGCAGTCTAAATCGTTTACTCCTGGGCAATCTCTAATGTTGCACCTTTAATAAGATAAACATGTTTAATGCATTGTTGAGTACGTAATAACTATGTGTAACACTTATCTTACTATAGAAATCAACAGAAGATTTAAGGTGTGTACATGGTATTTATTTAGTCTATCTTTCTTTCCTAATTTTCTTTAGAAGGATTAGGAGAGGTTGATGTGCGGCAAACTGTGTTAAAGACTGATGGTCGATACTATCAGCGATCGCCGCTCTTTGTCCCAAACGGAAGCAATCCCTTCATTTTTCCACCAATTTTACCAACAGCGCCTACGAATCTTTGGACAATTCCTGAAAAACTTATCACAAATTACGCGTTTAATTTTCGGTTAGTAAAAACTTGGAACGACACACTCACTAAATATGAGAAAACTACAAAGGTACTACTATGGTTTATCCTAATGGGCTTGGCTTGCCTACAAACGAATGTATTTACTTAAATGTCTAATTTCTATTTTCAGATTGAATGAAAAATACGTGCAAGTTTTTCTACATCTATTTTCTTATATGCGCAGATATTCGATGCATAGAGTACGGTACCCTCTGAAAATGTCGTCAGTAGTAATATGGATGCGAACAGGAAACGATCAAAAAGCATTTAGCATATACATTACGCTAAACTTTTAAAAGACGTAGCGTTTGCTCGAGTTATTCCCCTTCGGAAAACTTTGAAACCGTGCTTATAAACGAAATTAGCTTTATTTGCCAACTCAACTTCACCGATTTACAATTTACATGAATGACGAATTTTGAATTGCACACAAATAATAATGTGTACCCATTTTGATCACCCCCTGGAATTACTCCCTGTTCGATAGTATATATACATATATATATATATATATATATATATATATATATATGTATATATTTACATATAGATTAATCTAGGTGGCACTATTGGTGAAAAAAAGTAATGAGCAAGCTATTTATTGTAGGTTCGCACCTTTCTTTTCCTCGGGTTCGTCATATTCAGCCGGTTCCATGGTGGTCTCGTCGTCCTGTCCTAGCGTCCTATCAACAGCTATAAGAAACAGTAAGACAAACACTAAACTAAACATAATTGAAAGCACAGATCGCATTACGACAATTTATTTTCCACACTTTTGCAGATAGACGCGGCAAACGGTTCGGTGCGGTCAAGTACGCAGTTCCTCTTAAAAGACGATTTAAGTTATGACGGGTAATAATTTTCTCGGAAGCCGCAGTCTTCGCTGCAGCTGAACTTGCGTTAGAGAAATTGTTTGTTTTCTAGCAAGGTGTGCAAACTTGACAGCCGTTAGAAGCATAGTACTTAGACAAATGATTAGTGAAGTAACCTGAGGAAATAAAACTGCTCTATGTAACACATGAGTACCTTAGCTTTAAAGAAGTCTCCGAATCTATTCCCACCCAGAAATTTATCGAAAACAGTAGAAGCTTTATTTTATGGAACGTATGACAAGCGAATAGGAAATTGATATAGTTTTTTGGCTAATCGTGACGGCTACTTTACGATCGAAGGGAATCTGGTAGAACCTGTCGAGATCATCAATGCTAAAACGCTATACTCTCTCGCAGGGTTAGAGGCCGCTTATTGATGTATGATACTTACTGCACTACTCAAAACTGCTCGAATTATTGAGTCAGATTGAAGGTAATTAGCGCTTGCCGGCAACTTACACTTTAAAAATGTTTTCAGAAAGCATTAAAAGACTTCCTCTTACAAAGCGATCACGCGGATCGCTTCATTCACTTACGCAGGAAATTTTCCCCACGTGTGCATTGCTTCGTTAACTTACGCAGGACATTCTGCCTCGCATCGATGCGTGACCGCGTACTATTGTATAAACATTGAACTCTTTCTTGCTTCGTTTATTCATTAAGGAAAGAATTCTGAAATACAAGTCTGGAGTTGTTGTTTAGGATTGTTTAGGATCTTTCAGTAGGATTTTTCACCTGAAAGAGTGCTAAAATGAAGTGCTAAATATTAACCTCATCAACTTCATCATCAGCATTCTGAAGTAAGAATTCTGAACTACGAGCCTCGAGTAGCCTCGAGTTTCTGTACGAGTTTTAGCTTTACTTTGATTTTCCATAGAGTTTTAGCTCTACTTTAGGTTTAGCATTTTTCATAAGTAAGGGTGCTAAAAATGCGTGGTTGACTATGTAAGTTAAGGTTACTTCGGATGAAAAGCTCTGGATATCGACCGAATATGATCCCATGTGTTCACTCCGAATATGATCCCATGTGTTCACTTCGCTACTTCAATGACTATCGACCGAATATGATCTCCGACCGAATATGATCTCATGTGTTCACTTCACTACTTCAATGACGCATTTTTCATAAGTAAGAGTGCTAAAAATGCGTGATTGATCATGTAGGTTAGGATTACTTAAAATGGAAAGCTCTCGATATTGTGATCCCATGTGTTCATGTCACTACTTCAATGACCAGTAATGCTTCTTCAATTGAAGCTTCGAATAATTTGAAATGAAAACAAACGCAGATAATTGTTACACAAGCGCTACAAATTAGGAAAATTTACTAGTTCCACCGTAAGCCTAATACATCAAGGGATTCTTTCCGGTTCAAATAATTTTAATACTGTTCAAATTATTTTTTTGTCATCTCCGTTTAACCTCAGTGGACACCGAGCATTACGATTTAAATGTTCTGAAGTGGCACAATTTCCTTTCTTGGGATGTTTTCTTAGAACTCGTCGCCGCCGTCATCTTCGGCTCCCCCTTCATTAGAGTCGATGCCAACCTCCTCGTAATCCTTTTCGAGGGCGGCTAGATCTTCGCGGGCTTCGGAGAATTCGCCTTCCTCCATGCCCTCGCCAACGTACCAGTGCACAAAGGCACGCTTAGCGTACATCAGATCAAATTTGTGGTCAAGGCGAGCCCAGGCTTCAGCAATAGCGGTGGTATTGGACAGCATGCACACGGCACGGGGAACCTTGGCAGTGTCACCGCCCGGGACAACGGTTGGCGGCTGGTAGTTTATACCGACCTTGAAACCAGTAGGGCACCAATCGACGAATTGAATAGTACGCTTAGTTTTGATTGCAGCAATAGCTGCATTCACGTCCTTTGGCACGACGTCGCCACGATAGAGAAGGCAGCAAGCCATGTATTTGCCATGACGGGGATCGCATTTCACCATCTGATTAGCTGGCTCAAAACATGCGTTGGTGATCTCAGCAACGGTGTGCTGCTCGTGGTAGGCCTTCTCGGCCGAAATGACAGGCGCGTAGGTAACCAGCGGGAAGTGGATACGGGGGTATGGCACCAAGTTGGTCTGGAACTCAGTGAGATCTACGTTCAGAGCGCCATCAAAACGAAGAGAAGCCGTAATCGAGGAGACAATTTGGCCGATAAGACGGTTGAGATTGGTGTACGTTGGACGTTCGATGTCGAGATTGCGGCGACAAATGTCGTAGATAGCCTCGTTGTCAACCATGAAGGCGCAGTCAGAGTGCTCAAGAGTTGTGTGAGTAGTCAAAATCGAGTTGTAGGGCTCAACAACGGCAGTCGATACTTGAGGAGCAGGATAGACGGCAAATTCTAGCTTCGATTTCTTGCCATAATCTACAGACAAACGCTCCATGAGGAGAGAGGTAAAACCAGATCCGGTTCCTCCTCCGAATGAGTGAAAAATAAGGAAGCCCTGAAGACCGGTGCACTGGTCAGCCAGTTTGCGGATACGATCGAGAACTAGGTCAATGAGTTCTTTGCCAATCGTGTAGTGGCCACGGGCATAATTGTTGGCCGCATCTTCCTTTCCAGTGATTAGCTGCTCGGGGTGGAATAGCTGCCTGAAAAAGGTAAAAAGTACATACCGAAATGCTAATTCCTGTATAAAATTCACGCATTGTTATTAACACCATCTTTTTTTAATTAATGCTTTAATTGCAATACATAGCAACTAGCTTGATTATCCTACTATATTATCCCTCAATGCTAGATGTACGGAAGTGGCACAACAGCAATCATACAAACTGCCATTACCCTGGTGGACCTCGTCCATATCGACCGATCCGGCATCTGGTTCATAGAGGCGCCATCTTTCCATTCCGAAAATAGAACGGGCCACCGACCTATCGAAAATCGTCTGCTAGTGCCACTGCGTTTGCGGTTATAATGATGATGGATTGTGAGAGGAGCGCGGCTACGATGGAGCAGCGGTGCAGCCAGCAAAAGCTAATGCTATGCTGCTGTAGCAGCAAAAGCCACTCAACCCGAAGGATGGGAAGTTCCCTGTTTATCGATAAACAGCTCTACCTTTGATGAGCTACGAAGCTGGCAGATGCGAAACTCCGTTAACTTACCAGTAAAATCTAAAAAACTCGTGAAATTTCATTACTAAGCAGATGCTAAACCCACCGATACAAAGTAGTTATGCGGAAGACTTAGTAGCCGTTATAATCATTTGGAAATGATGCGTCTGCAACACATACCTGTAGGTTCCGGTACGAACCTCGTCGACGACAGTAGGCTCCAGGTCGACATACACGGCACGAGGCACGTGCTTACCAGCGCCAGTTTCCGAGAAAAACGTGTTGAAGGAGTCGTCTCCTCCTCCTACGCCTTTATCGGACGGCATCTGGCCGTCTGGCTGGATGCCGTGCTCGAGGCAATACAGCTCCCAGCACGCATTTCCGATCTGCACTCCGGCCTGGCCGACGTGAACCGAGATGCACTCACGCATGATGTCGAGTCTGCATTGAAAAAGAAACTGTTAAATAACGTTCTGAAACAATGCGAAAAGTCGAAAACCAGCGAAAACAAGGAACCGCGCCTGCAAATAAATGTCCTTTACCTACAAAAAATCGGACATTCGTGTGTCTATGCTTGTATCCATTAGGCCACACCCAAATAAAATACAGCAGGTTACCGTAAATAGATACCGTTACTGTCAGAGCCGCTGGTTAAACTTGTGTATATTAGTAGTCATAGGTACGGTTGCACCTCGACGGTTTCAGCAAAATTGAGCAGAGCCCCCATGAATGCAGGATTATAGCGAGCAGAATAACTTCCATCAAATTTTGTCAATAGAGCTAGTCAGGTCGTAACCTAGGACCTCATAACCCCCTATGTTCCCTATGCCTCATATGCTATGTACGGAGTACCCCACCTAGAGCTTCAGACGTGTGTACAGAATGACCTCGTGTCTGACTCATTTGGGTGGTGTCCATTCATGGGTTGGAACGCTGTACATCGGTTGCACCGGCGCCATTAAGGAAACTCAATTGATGGAGAAGTATCTTTCGAACAAACTAAATCTTCGCGCGTATACTGCGATTTGCAGTTTAAACTACGCAGTACAAAATTCGCAAAAGGCAACATTATTTTAATTATACTGTAAGTAGCTAGCCGTTGCATCACGACTATGTGCCAGGTGTAACGGGCTCACGAAAACGTGGCATCGAGCAGTACATCGGAAAATAGTTTTCTTCCTCAGCCTAGCAAAATCGCTGGCGAAGCCAATCTGACCGCTACAGTCCAATGATAAATAAGTGGATCGTAAGCTCTTACAAAACAAAGTCGGTTGCGTGCTGGGCCTACATAAACTCTAGGAAGCAAACATGTGCTCAACACTGAAGTTTACTGGGTTACTCCAGTGCAAAATATAAATAACCCATTACAACTTAAAATAATAAAAACTAATTCCACATTACAATTATATGTATATATCTCAAGCCGAATAGCTAACTACCTCTACACAATAGTAGACCCCCATGTCTGCAAAATGAACCACCGCCCATGTGTGACGTTAGGCCTAACATACGAATATCTACTTCAATTCAAATATATAAGAAAAAATTAGACAAACTTACTATAGTGGACTGTTACTACCTTGTATCTATTAAATTCCTCATTACTACCGCGGTAAAATCGAAAGTCAACTTACTTGATGGTGGCGACGGATAGTCAATTAAACCAAAGCTCAGTTGAACTGCAGTGCAACGTGCACAAGTTCAATTGAATGTGTCACTCCAACGGTCGGATGAGCCTTTTATACGAGCCGCCCTTTCCACAGATTCCTCCGCTATGTGCAAATGCCCTACAATCTACTACCAACCATTTTAAAATTATTTTCAAACTAGGTACACTACAAACACTCCCGAGTTCAACTGTGTACAGATATCATTTGCTAAATGTCGTGAAAAACTGCTTATTACAAAAGACTGAGGATCTAGTTGCCGGCTGCGTGTCCATCGACCAGTCGGTTTGTTACCGTGACGCGGTCATTCTTCCGCCATCAATCTACTTTTCGATTTATTACATTCACTTGATCTAAGAAGTTCACCACATTTATGCGTATCGAAGCCTTTAAAGTAATACATCCATACTACACCTCGTAAGAAGTGAAGATACGAATTTTCAAACCTCTGTAAGAGAAACGTGTGTGGTTTCGTTCAGCCACTTTTGCAGACAAGCTTTCGTTGTTCTGCCAACGCCATCTAAACAAAACATTTAGCAGACATCTATCTAGGTAATCATTAGGCTAGGCAAACCATTGACTTGCGAAAATCGCTAGAGCAAAAGACAATCTTAGTTTCTAAGCTCAATGTCTCAAACGGCGGTTTCAGCGGAAAATGTGGCCTCCCCAGTGCACAGTGCCAAGCAACGGGCACTTGAAGATTATAAGCGAAAGGTTTGTACGGAAGTGTGCAAGTGTGACCTAAGATGTAGCTTTAAAAATCGTTTCAAAGGGATATGGCGGCTACGCATCTGCTATATACCCAATTGTAACTCAGCCATCTCACTATGAATAACGCAAAAGCAGTTGGTTTGTTGACAACACAGGCGTCTTAAAAGGTTTAGGTAAAATTTCCTTTGTAGATTTCAAATTTCAAAAATCTCTTCAGTTTTCTAAATGGCTTGCGATTTCCGAGTTCTTTCATATATATATATATAGGTCTTCCTCGTTTGATTCTTCGACCAGATTATCCATTTTTTTAAACATTTCTTAGTCGTAAAGATCCCTTTAAGAAAGAATAGTGTTCTTAATAAAGGCTTCTAGAACATTTATGCTGGAAGTTCCATTATTCCAGCTGATACCTGCTTGCACACATGCGGAAGTTAAAACTACAATCATTCTATATAATCTAAGAATCCAATGATATACTCAACAGTAGTGAGTATAAGATTATTTATATGCATGTAAAATGCATGTATATACATATCAGCGCACACTACTTGTACTACACGAGTGGGAATATAGTCGAGTCAACTTTTAAAGGAAAATCTGTGTTCCAATTTCACTTTAATTTCGATGTGTTAGGTGCTGGAGCATCGGGAGGTAGAGTCATCCCTGAAGGACATGCGAGAGCAGCTCAAGGAGTTGACAAAACAATACGACAAATCAGAGAACGACTTAAAGGCATTGCAGTCCGTTGGACAAATTGTTGGTTAGTAAAAAGATAAATGTTTTAGAAAACCTTTTATGGCTACATGACTGCAATTAATTATTCATAATAATAAGTGAATTCTACGAATGGATATATCAGCGGCATGTATATTTTAACAAGCTAGATTTAATTGTGAGATATCGCTCTTACAAATATTACATCCGCGATAGTTAGCTAAAATTTTCTGTTATCCCAAATGCCCCATATTTTAATGCGCCGTTTGGTTGAAGAATATTTTTGCCATGTGGTATATTAGATATAATTAGGATGTAACATTTTCACGAGCCTATTTGATGGTAATTTCATGCCCAAGCGTTTACACATCTGTGACATCATAATTGCACAGGTGAGGTATTGAAACAATTGACAGAGGATAAATTTATCGTGAAAGCAACCAATGGGCCTCGCTATGTGGTTGGCTGTCGGCGTCAGCTTAACAAAGAAAAACTCAAGGCTGGGACCCGAGTCGCTCTCGATATGACAACACTCACAATTATGAGGTAAGTCTCATACTGTTAATCATAGTATGTTCGTCTTCGTCTCGATTATACATATTTGTCGTTTACGAACTGCAATAAAAAGAAAAAGGATCTGAAAGTAATCGTCAGTATCACCCTTTTTCATCAAAGATTAGCGAAATGAGAAATCGTAAGAAAACTGTGTGAAATAGGATGTCAGGTAATGTGAAGGACATAAACCGAATGAAGTACTATGATATGAATGTGAACAATGAAGCTAAAATCACACCTGCTTTGGTACCTTCCACACACAGGTACCTTCCCCGTGAAGTCGATCCGTTGGTCTACAATATGTCACATGAAGATCCGGGCAATGTTTCGTATTCGAACATTGGCGGTCTCCAAGAACAGATTCGCGAATTGCGTGAAGTAATTGAGTTACCACTACTCAATCCCGAGCTCTTCCAGCGAGTCGGTATCACTCCACCGAAAGGTTGTTTGCTGTACGGACCTCCAGGGACCGGTAAGACGCTGTTGGCGCGCGCTGTAGCTTCGCAGATGGATGCCAACTTTCTGAAAGTCGTGTCCTCGGCTATTGTCGATAAATACATTGGCGAGTCAGCGCGATTAATTCGTGAAATGTTCAACTATGCTCGCGATCATCAGCCCTGTATTATCTTCATGGATGAAATTGATGCTATTGGTGGACGTCGTTTTAGCGAAGGCACGTCAGCTGATCGTGAGATTCAACGCACACTTATGGAGCTCCTTAACCAAATGGACGGATTCGACGCTCTTGGTCAAGTTAAAATTATCATGGCAACAAACCGACCTGACACATTGGACCCGGCCCTATTAAGGCCAGGTCGTCTGGACCGCAAGATTGAAATTCCGCTCCCAAACGAGCAGGCCCGTCTTGACATCCTCAAGATTCACGCCCGCAAAATCACGAAGCACGGAGACATTGACTGGGAGGCTGTTGTCAAACTCTCCGATGGTTTCAATGGAGCTGATTTAAGAAACATCTGTACTGAGGCTGGCATGTTCGCCATCAGGTACGGCTAGGCTTTTCGTGGTATTGTTATACTGTAGCGTTTTTCTTATTCGCAATATACGTTTTATTATTGGCGATTACTGCGCTATTTAGTAATTTTGAGTGTTTATCTATGTTTGGCAGGGCCGACCGCGAGTATGTGATTGAGGAGGATTTCATGAAAGCTGTACGGAAAGTTGCCGATGTCAAGAAGCTCGAAACCAAGCTTGACTACAAGCCTGTGTAAGCGGATTCGTTGATTTCGCTGAGTCGTGTGCACTGCAAAGCACGTATGACATATAGAAAGCGGCAGTTTTACAACGTTTGTGAAAGTGCTGAATAGACATAAAACTGAAATAAAGATAACTATATTGACATATTAGGTTGATTAAACTTGCTCTTAAACAAGTAATTAGCTTGTGTTCCTTTTAGCTTGTAATCGTGTTACACTGTTACAGTAGAGGTTCGAAATCGAGGTATGAAATGCAGTAATAATTTATGAAACGTAACTATTATTTTGTACCAGTGTACGAAGTAAAAATTCATCTAATATGCTTCGAGAATGTTACTCGCCGGGTTTTACTGTAGTTTATTAGTCACTTTTACTTTTCTCTTTCGATGTCGCTTTGACTATTCGCGTTTTCGTGTATAGGGGCAAGAGACTCACAGATAAAGAAGAAAGAAGTGTTGGGTTGGTACATTTCTGCAAGTCAACATCGTTGCAACATTGTTAGTTCCACCCTATCAGAAAGGAATTTACCTCCCAAAGCTGCAGTAACCCGGTTTACCGACGAACGCAATCTAGATCACGCCTGCTTACAATAGATGTTCCATTTGGAGCTACGGTTCTGAGAACTGTTCTTGGTTTGTTATTTGTTTTTTATAAATAAGTTGCATTTAATATTGGTGAAGTCTATTCTGTAAACCTCAGCAAATGGAAAGGTATGGTGTGTTATGGTAAATTAGTTAAACCTCAGCTAGGTACGTAAGAAACCTAAAGGAATCGAAACGGAGAGGAAGATATGCAAGCAGGTACGAAAGAAAGTTTACTACTGTTGTTTCAAAAATGTGTGGCACAGCGTGAAGGAAAATACGTGGGAAAGCTTTAATACTGGTTCGGAAGTATTTGCCAGTATTTTTGAAGCTTGAGAATTTCTTTAAAAATTGAGAAATGAATATTAGGACGCAAACAAAACCTCACGTCCAAGGCGTTTGGTTGGTGTTGAAAGTCCTCCACTCACTTAAACTTAAGCTATTACCTGGAGCCACTTCGTATTTCTTCGGGCTCCTCAGAAGTCTAATATCACTCCGTGTTGTACCGTCTAACTATGTGCATTATGTCATGTTGTAAACTTTTTAAAAATATACCAATCCTCAACTACTATATGAACAAACCGGGAAATCTAATTCCAGCAAATAATAGTAACAACAATAATAATTGTAATAAAATCGGTATTTTCAGCCCAGTCCCCATGTCCCATCTGCATAACAATGTTTTTCTGTGTTGTAAAATATTTTGAATAATGATAAGTGAGTAGGTTAATAAAACTAACTTAGTATATTCTCCAAGTGCTAAATGCATCCAGTGAAGAATATTTGCGGTCGATTTACATTTAAAACGATATTAATTTTGACACGCGCGGCCAATGTATATAACTATCCATCTCTCTTTTTACCAAAAACATAACTAAGCCGGGCATAGACTAGCTAAAAATTCGGATCCTGATAACATACCGTTTTCTATGTAAGTTGTGTTATATCATAGTTTGTACATTTAATGAGTCCCGTAAGATAGGCACGGCTTATACTTCGTAAAATTGTAATGCCCAAGACGATTTGCATTGTGAATTGAATCTCGACTTCTCCTAGAAAAACATTGTTCTTGTAAGCCTAGGATAAGTGTTATCAACGTATGGAAAGAAGAGAACATTCGTGGCCTTGCATTGCTAACGCCTGGGATTTGTGAAGCCCTGTCCGCGATTGTTGTTAATGCTGTCGATGGAGCTGAGACGAGAAAGCCTGTAAGTAAATGTAAGAAGGCTTGCACTCTCCGCTGTAAAAATCCCGTATGCAATGTCGGATGAAAATCCTGTTTGAGGAATCGGTTGACAAAGCCGGGTCATGAATAAAAAATATGTTCGTCCAGTTTCTAGTACAGTCGGCAGCACCTCTTCCGCCAATCTATTGTTCCATTCCGAAATTGTACGGCTCGATTGTATCATTGCGATAGCAAAAAATAGTTCACACTGTGTAGACGGAAATTGAAAATCCTGTCACTCGATTTAAAGTAATGACATGTCTCCGTCCCAATGCGGTGTCAATCTTGCAAAGCAATACACTACCCGTGTACTAGCGCGACAAAGATTTATCCTGCGTAACTGATATCCATAAGCAGCTGATCATTAAAACTTGGGTCAGTAATAGAGGCGCAGTTCTCTACAATCTGATTTATGAGCAAACACGTTAATCTTCTTTTTATTAAAAACCAGAAATTATTTCGCTATTGACAAATGCCTTACAGAATGTGTGATAAAATGAAGAAATGCAATATGGACTTAAAAAAGAGACAAAGAAACAATTCAGCTTATTGAGTCTGCTTAGAACAAGTCTGTGCTGAGCGGACTAATATATTTATAGCCTGTTGAACACGCAACCAAGCTTATACAACGGCATCTTTCGTTTCAAACAAAAATTATAATTGTCTACTTAGTCGTCGCACGATGTCGCCTTTAGTTGAAATTAATTATAATTGTTTGCTTATCTGCCACTCAAAATATGAACATAAACGCCGCAACAATAAGCGGTAATTCTCAATTGTCTAGGTAAGTTCTACATTTTGATACACATCTGGTCATGTGGTGTCGTGTCATATCGCATCTCTTTGGTATCCAGGATAGCTAGTGGCATGCCCTTACGTCAAACGAAATCAACGATAAAGGATACTATGTCTTGAAACCAAATATGCGTTCGTGTTTTGCTAGCTTTGTCTAAACTAATCAGTTATTTTTCGTTCATCCTTGCATATTCAACATTTTTAGGAAAATGTAAAAAATTATAAAAAAAATTGAAACCAGTTCTAGCGGCAGTTGCGTTTCAGCGTTCCTACTCGTAATGAGGTTCTACCAGATTTCACCACACAAAATACTTATACCACCAACTAAGGTGCTCGTTTCACTTGTTACCAGGTTCCGATATTCCTAGTAATTCAGAGAGGATCTGTACTCTAGAATTATACCGAGGCCTTTAATTTTGCCGCAGATTTAAGGGGTTTACTGACACCTTTTTTGTGTAGATCCGCTACAACTGTCAACGATCAAAGCACTGGATTCATTTACAGTGATTCAAACTAATATGAGTTTTCTACAACTTAGTAAAAGGATTAATAGAACATATAAAAAAAATTATCTCCAAGTTTCATATAGATACAAAAAAATTAAACGTAATGTATCAACGCTCTTTTCAAATATTCGCGGAGCAAGTATTGTACAATACGAGAAAGTACTACTTCAACGTGGGTATAGTTTCTGCTTCAACAAAATAGTAATGCATATATAACACTTTGGTGTAGCAGTATTCATTGAGTCAACAAAATCTGTTTATAGCGTAAATAACGTTTCTGATGGTGCATATGGTAAAAAAAAGTCTTGATACTTTTATAAAATACTTTTTCAAGTAAGTTTCAAGTAAGAAAATAAGTTTTCTTTAAATTAATTTTTATGATTCCCTAGTAATCTACTATTTATCTGCCTTATACATGCACATTTACTACACATTCAGATTGTTAAGATTTACGAAATCTGCATTCTTTATGCTACAAACATTGAAGGTATTTTGAGCGTGTCGAATTTTGTTGTGGGAAAGGCTTTTTCTACTGTGGGTAAAGTGAACACACAAAATTCGATCAGAAACACTAAAGTCGCCATAAAGATAGTTGTTAACTGTAAAATGTTGCTCTCGTTAGGCCTCGTTAACTCTGGGTCAAAATATAAACTAGAAATTGTGTGGAGTAAAGTTTGAGTTCTACTAGTGAACGTATCTGTTCGACTTTGTTTGCTTGATGTAGCTTTGCATCCTTGATGGTGTAACAGAAATTTCACTATTTGATACGATGACAAGCAAGAACAAGGAAATATTTAATATAATAGCGAGGCATATTTACTACTCCATTTAGCCTCCATCCGCTTCGGATTCTGTATAAAACATAATCGTGCGGTACTAAGCGCTGTTGCGCATGTTTTTTGGACTCAACAGGCAAGCTAATTTGTTTAATAGGGCCAAAACTACGCACTCTCATTGACTTTAATTAAACATTTACCCTCTTTTTCTAACAGTTTTTCGAAAGAGTGTTGTTAACATCCTTAGTTCCATAATTTGGTGCATACTAGAATCTCAGATTGGGATAGACTCGGGATAGAGATTCCATCGTGTTACACGGTTAATCGTGACTATATTGCAGGTGTTTGAAAGCACACATAGATTTGCCTTTGGTGGTCAGTCAAAATTCGATTTCTTTCAAAATGAACTGTAAGAACGTCGTACTGATGCGCGAAACCATTCTTTGCCGATTTCCAATAAAAGGGAATTTCAAAGCCACATTGATCTGAATATGAATCAAGTCAATTTCGGGTTCTAATCTGCCATTCAAACACAAACTCTAAGCAGCTCTAAAGCAGTATTGCTTTAAGCATATTTAATCACATATATAATCTCCATGATAATCATCGCGGTTGCAGTCTTGTCGTGACCACTCAACTTAGTCTAGTCGATATGTTTCAGAAGTCGTCACAATAATGTCTCTTTCAATAGAGTCATAATGCTTTATGGAAGCAGAAAAAACGCTTTGATGTATACCTAATACTCGTGGCGATGTATGAGATGGTGTCCGTTGCCGTGATCGAATTGGCTCAAGCACAGCGACTCTGTTGTATGGACTGCAGCCACGTTCGCTGCACAAATGCTGCTTTTTCTCCCTCTTGTCCAGCGCGTGAAACTGTGTTGGTGACGAATGTGGGTAACCCGTGAGGACTTAGTCTGCAGAATGATAATAAGCATCTTCTTCTGACTTTGCCTAATTCTAGACTGACGTAAACAATGTTCAAAAGCAAACTATAAATTGAGCTACTGTGGAGCATCTCGTCATTTGAAGCAGCCTTTTAGATGGACAAAGCTCTACTCGTTTTAGGTGTTAGTAGATTCTGTTCGGATCTAACTGCAGACAGTTCTGGTGCAAAGGTGACTATAGACCGCGAACCGCATATCTTGAATAGCGCACAATATTTATTATAATATCTTAAATTTGATAGTTGAAAATATTTCCCTATAGCATGTTACAACGAGATATTGAAGGCTTCAAAGCGCTCTAACTTTTGCAGAGAAAGATGGCCATTGTCCGTAGCACATATTGCCCCGCTGAACAGCCAGCAAAAAGTGCTGCGTTTGGTTGTTGTCTGCTTTCCGGCTTCAACCAAAAACCTCTAGACCGTGAAAGCACGGTAAGACCTACCTCTGCTTGTATGCGGTAACGGGCGGAGGGTCAAAAAGTTCTAAAGTAATGCATATTCAATACCTTGTTCTACTATATATTAAAGTTGTTTTGTCGCATATAAAAAGATTACCATCCAAGACTGTTTGCAACTATAAAGTGAACTTTTGAAAACTGTTATACTAACTCGTACATTGGACAATTTTGAGCTTCTTCGCTTTTGACCGGTGGCTCTACCTTTTCTCAGTCGTCGACTAAGTCGGTAACGTCGTGTTTGAAGCCTGGAAAGCGTGTGTTTCGATAGAATCGAAATCAAAATTGTGAGTCATATAGGATATAATTTTCACTCAATAAATATTAAAGTGTTTTCGAATCTGTAACCTTGTTGCAAGTGATTATGCAGCAAAATTATACAAATGCAGAGACGAACGCAGCAAATTTGAAAAATTCCCCAAGTTTCTAAACATCTGACATTTCCGGCGACATGAATAAGTCCTTAGAAATTATACAATATGTATTTTGCATTCTTAGCCAAGCGTACTGCATATTTTAGCAGATATAGCAAGCCGTATAAGAGTTCACGTCTCAAGTTTATTTACTATTATATCCCAGATGAGCCAGCTGTATCAATTATAGAACACTGTTACAGTTTTCACTGTATTTTAGAATATCGCACTGAAATGGTGTCTCTATTGCATTTACGATCTACACAGCACCTAATAAAATGTACATCTAACTCAGTACGTGCCTACCTGCTCAGTAATTGAAAATACAGTCCCATAGTACGTTTTGCTCCTTTTGATTTGAAAACACGTGAATAGAAGTGCGTTACCTTTTTGTATCACAAGGTAAACAACAACAATGTGCCATAATAATGTAAAAGAAACTCAAACAAAAATAGACAATATTTTTGTTTGAGTTTCCGAAAACAGTTCCTACAATAGCTATGAACGTGTCGTTTATGTGGTATTATCCTGTTGCAAAAATTAGGGATCTTCATGCTGCTCGAAGTTCAAGCGCATTTTTCATTCAATGAGTTATAGCCAACTGATTAAACTGTGCGTAGAAACTACAGGGAACTTCAATTTCTTTAATAGAACAATTTCTTTACGTAGAAGCCACTTGCAACAAGAAAAAACCCGAAGAATACAAATAAAGTATTTTACCTAAATGTATCGTTAGCATATACACAAAAAATGCTTTATTAATGAAGACATTGCTAGTTCAACAGATTGTACAAGAACAATATAAGGTAAATGTTACTTAAGCTCAGTTCTGTGATGGTCTGTCCCATTTACAGATATTTACGCCTAGATTTTCTCCGCCTCCGGAATCGTCTGTTATAGGAACACTCTTCCCAGCGAATGCCCTCTCTGGTGGGCTCTGAGACCGAATCTTATAACAGGCGACTTCACTACTTGGAATACATCGTCACAGCCACAATGACCCCGTAGACACCAAGTACCTCCGCAAAAACCAAGATAATCATCATTCCGAGAAACATTCGCGGTTGATGAACCATGGCTCGCACTCCACAGTCACCAACAATTCCGATTACAATACCTGCAGCCATACTGCAAAGACCTACAGCCAAACCTGCGCCAAGATGCATGAACCCTGTATAGAGCTTGTAATGTTCTTTTATTGCGTTTGCGATTAGGACGGCGACTACGAGACCGTAGATGGCGAGGATACCCGCCATAACAACAGGAATGATCGACTTCATGATGAGATCCGGCCTCATGACTGCCATCGCTGCAATTCCTGTGCCAGCCTTGGCTGTGCCATACGCCGCCCCAAGTGACGAAAAGACGATAGCCGCTGCAGCACCTATCACTCCGAAGAAGACCGCGTACGGAGGACTTTGATCGTCGCTCATCTTTGCTCCCTTCTCTGACTTCGCGAACTATGAGTTTTCGAGGTATCGGGGTCATGCACGAATTCTACTAAGTATCTGAAGGCGAACACTCAGACGTTTGCAGACATCGGCGCATAAGATGCTGTTACACAAGGCCAAGAACTAGCCAGTGAAACTAGGGAACTGGCAAGATTTGCCGCAGGTAAAAATTTCCGACGCTCGCAGTTGACTGAAGCTGATCTGTGCAGACTGCATTAGCAGCTGATACTCGAAGCCGATTATAGTCGATCTGGTGGAAGCCCTGACGCAGTTAGCTTGAACAAAACAGTCGTCACACCTCCTTTTTTGTAAGTCTGTGACGAAGAAATAACGAAGCGTTGGGGCGATAAGTTGGAAGGTAGGTCAGCGTACCAGTATAAAACATAAAGCAAAATCAATAAATGCCGATGTGTTAGAGTGTATGCATAATGTTATTAGTGTGCACGATTTTTTGACCATAATTGCCGAATACCCTAATCAAGCCAGGACTTTGAACGGTAAACCCTATATTTACTGAAGTGCACGATTATCTGTCAATCCAGTTGCAAGGGATGAAGAATCAGTGCTGAATCGTTGTGCCAGATCAGCTAGAAGCGCGCTTCTTAGTGCTGACTGAAAAATCGAGGCCTAAAAAACAACTCAATATTAACGAGGTCCCAAATATTTTTACTTATCTTTATTTATCTCATAATGTATAACTTACCCAACTGGCCCAAGCGAATGTGTGTATAAAATCAAACAACAGAAAGGAACTTTTTAGTAATGAGAAATTTTCATGTTCTTTTCACGAAACGCTTTCTATGGTACGTATCGACGTAAAGTATCATATAGTATTATCCCTTCTTGCCAACGGTGATACACAATCGCTTCATGCACAACAAAATTCCAAAATACGAGCAGTATATAATGTAGACATAATTGATACACGTAACCTAGAACGAGGTTCACAATTGTACACGAGAGTCGTGAAATAATGTGGATACATGGAAATGCCTCAGCGTGCACGGTAGATTAGACTACCGGATGGGGGTGAGCTATGGGGCAAAATAGGTTTGCAGTTCGGACAAGCTTAGGTAAGCAAATTGGAAAATTAATAATTAGATCACACTTGAAAACTCTATACTATAAACTGTAAATCTACCTTTTGTCAACCTTTACCTTATTCCTGTCACGACTAGAAACTTACATTTGCCGCCGCCTGTTTACGTCATTCTACCTATATAAATCCTCAAATCCGTTACTTCGATGAGTATGCAATGAATCTATTTAGACACTGAGCAAACAAAACAACAACGTGAGGCAGTTACGGTAGAGACTGACTGTTGGTCTATAATAATCACGTATCAGCCAATATGAGTCATTAACGCAATCGAGGGTGTATGTATGGAGTGCCCAGTGCGCTGTAACCGTAATGATTTTTCCTGGTAGCAGGCCATCGTCAGGGACGATAGCTTGACGTCGCGCAAAATGTGTCAATATTACAAAGTGCATGCCTCTTGCTTTTTTTTTGCGAAAACCTGCTGCGAAACCTCACTGGTACAGCTTGTGAGTATTGTCTTGTGAATCTTTCGTGTTAGACAGTTACTTAATCGTAAGTTACGAACTGGTTCGTGTTATTGCAAACAGCCTAACGCTGACAAGGGCCCGTTTTGCATTAGCGCTCCACTACAGGAGGAACGCTTCTTCTAGGATTCTGGTATTTAGGCATACACATGAAATGTCTGGAGTTGCATACTTTAGTTCTATTCCTAGAAACTGTGAAAGCTCTATAGCTTGCACGAATTTCTCGTCGTGTAATGATTGGGTACGCAGTCCTTGGTCAGTCTGGTAACATTGTTGATGCCTCCCATATCATGGCGGTGATGCGTTTCAGTCATAGACACATTTGGAATGGTTCGTTGCTGTTTAAGAAATTCATTGGCAATTCGCAGACATGGCCCTTCAACAAAAACGTATAAACATGTAGACAACGCTAAGGTTACGACGAGATGGCCGCAGAACGAGTAGAGCTGAAATTGTAATCATTATATCAAATTACATAGAATTATTTTTATTTGAACAAAATGAATAGATAACTACAAAAAATGAGAAATTAAAAAAGAAAAAGTAAAGGGAATTTTTTTACGTACAATTGAGTGTTTGTATAGCAAAGATCGTGAGAGGATGGATGGTACAATCGAAACTATGAGATTGGGTGGCTTGAACGATTTTAAATTACAGTTTTAGGTCGCCCAAGTTGTCCCACTGATGGCCGACAGAGAAATAAGTCAAGAACCAAGAACCCCCAGGTAATGGTGCTAGTTGTACGGCCGACCTAAGCTAGACGTCTTAATGCTAGACGAACAACTTATTCAAACGTTTACATTCGAGAGAGATCAATGTGTTATACATAAACAAAAGTCACTGTTAGGTTATCGATAACCATTTTGTTAGCTAGATAGCTTTGAAATTGCGCCAACACAACTTCGAAAAAGCAGCCTTGAGGTCGTCTTAAAGCTGAGATTCCGCAATACCGAATACGCTGAAATAGTTCGAGTGCCTTAGAGAGGAGTAAAATTTATGCAAAAACTCGCTATATTTTCTATTTTTATTAGGCTAAATATAAAAATGCTACCAAGCTGAGAAAAAAATGTCCTAATTATGATTAAACTTATGCGTTGAGATAATTCTATCGCTATCTGGAAATTTCGATGTAAAATGTGTTTCTTGTAGAGGTTAACCGATTACGGAAGAAGTTGATGACATGATTGTGAGTGTTGAGTAAAACCTTTACATAAGTTGCTATGGTACTGCCAAGAAGTTATATATCTACTTCCAAATAACTTTAAAAAACTTGAAAGAAGCTGGGTAGAAAGTTTAACGTTAGAGTGCCATACGAATTGATAGGAAAAGGATTTATTCGATCGTAAGTTATCTTCGAAATTCTACAGGACCGCAATGAAATAGAGCCATTTCTAAAGCGATTGATTACGGGTTGTGAAAAGTGGATCACACGACAATAGAGGGCGAAAAAATGTACCCCGGAGTCTGTGACAAAGCCCAAACTGACGACAAAGAACGTGACGTTATGTATGATGGATTCAAAAGCAATCGTGCATTATGAATTGCTGCCGCCTGGCAAAACAATTGATTCGGACCTCTGTTGTCAACAATTAACAATTCAACAAAGCATTTAAAAACAGATTGGAACTAGTGGGCATTACGACAGTGCCACATCATACACATATTTACCTATTCGAAAATAATTGAGAGAACATGACAAGGAAACTTTAATGCATCCGCTTTCTACATAGTTCGACCCCACACTATGAGACTACTACATGTTTCGGTCTTTGCGGAACCTCCTTAATCGTGTTAACATAGTTTCAATGAATGAGCGCAAAAATCACTTGTCATAATCTCTCGTTCGTAAACTCCCTACTACAGCAATGAGACTCTGGTAGTATAAGAAAAACAAAAAAAAAAGTAGTAAATAGTAGTAGATAAAAATAGCGCATATTTGTTTTACAATGACATAACGAATATCCGCTTCAGTTTCGAGCTAAAAAACAGCCAATACGTTCTTGAAAACTTGATATATCAAATGAATATATATGTATTAGGCGGCCGTAGTGACCTGGCCGACACGATGATTAAATCCTGGATTGATACGCAACGCACATGCGAGTAATAAATAATGTGTCAATAACAACGGAAGGATATTTTACCTTATCGTAATGGGAATAGTAGATAAGGCTTCGAGTTGTTGCTACCTGATACAGGATCAATAATGGGTGGATGAGATAGCCCAGATAGGCTAGTCGACCAAGCACTCCGAAGCCTCCCCACGAAAGAACAGCCGCCACAGGACCTATAAACAAACAATTGCGAAGTCGTTTAGTAGAATCCCGAATAAAAAAACCGCCTTTCTAATGCTCGTGTTTAATAACACTCTATAAATAGATGCTGGAATATTTCATATGATCTCTTTCAAAGAAAGTATGACCTAGTATGAGACACGTAATTCTTTTGTTCAGGATGAACTCATTACTCAATTGAATGTGAATTGTTTCTCGTAGTGTTTTTTCTGTTACCTCCTTTTCCGGAGATGCAGGCAAAGATTAGCCAGGAGATTCCGAGGCTCCATATGACTCGGTGAGTTGCAGCATAGACCGTTGCCACAGGTTGTGGAGGCAATCGTTGATTCCACGGGTATGCCACTACGAGAATCGCAGTACAGCTGATGGCTGAAGTCGTCCATAAGACAAACTGGGTCCACTGAACAGACCGAGCAATGTCCACGGTCGAAAAGATGAATGATATAAGAGAATTTTATTGTCGTGGAAAATATAAAAAATATTTTTGCCAGAGGTATTTTGCATGTGTTTTTTAAGAAATTACTTCAGACCCTTGATTTGTCCCAAGTATTGACTAACAGCAAGGTCAATGACTAATTAAATAGCTTCGATGGTGGTAGAGCTGCACGCTGAGATTAGGATGCGCGTAAAGGTGCTGCACAGGCGTGGAATTCAAATACAGGACAAAATCACACTAGGTATTGCGACAAAAGGCTGTGTAACCTATTTTCAGTAAAAAGTGGTGAAAGCATTACAGGAAAAGTAGTAGGCTTCGATATGGCCTAATTGAACCATAGCCGACACTGAGATCTTCAGTCATTAGTTGCAGATATAGCGTATTTCGTGCATGTGGAATTCGGATAAACTTTGCCGTATTATTTGAATGAGTTAATCTGCTGTTCTTAATATCAAAGGAAAACCTGTTCTTTTTTTCTAACTCATCATGGCGAGAAGCGGTGCGTCATTTTTTGGAATTTAAGCGAAGATCATCAACTGCTTCGCACCTTACCAGCTCCCATCAAGGTTGAAAACTACCTTCAACGTTTAACCAGCTTTGACGGAAATTGGGTTCGCGCTGAAAGTATCGAAAAATTCCTCATAGACACTAACGTAAATAACGAAAAGTTTTGTTTCGAGCAGTTGCCTCAGCTGCAGTTAACTATCTACCAAACGTAATGGAGAAAAAATTACATTTTTTAAAAAGAACGATTATTCATATTACCTGTTTTCTCAAAGGACTCGATCTTTACACAAAATTTTAACAGCTAAAATTAGCTCCGTTTTGATATAGCGGGATAACCGCAAACAAGATATAGGTCAATAGTGGTATACTGAAGGCTTCTATTCAATTAGAGCGCATAATTATTGTTGCAGAGCTACCGGTCGTAGGAAACAGAAAGATTCGAAAGGCACGTTTACGAAGCATGCGAATCGAAGAATTGAATATAGGCTTAAGAAAAAGTTCAGATAAACAGGTCTAAACTTGCTTCGGGTTGCATAAGGGTCTTCATGATAGTGCAAGGGTTGGTCTAAATTCGAACCCATACGTAAGCGTATTTTGTTTCGTATTGAAAAAAGCCGGCCATCAGGAGAAATGCTCAACCGTATATATAAAACTCCGTGGATATAGAACTCGAAAAAATTACTTAGGGTAAATGGAAAAAATAACAGAATGGTATCGGGTGGCGTCTAGTTTATACGCCCACTATCGATCATGTGAATGAAATCAATGAATACGTTAACAAGTTTAATGGGTATCCTCAGCTAGATGTTATTTATGCAGGGTAGCGATTTGTTACGTTACATAACGTAGACCATAAATAGGAGGACAACATTCTAACCGCTAAGGTAGTGGGAACTGATCTAAGGACTAGAGACCGCTGTTTTCATGATAGCTGCGAAATGCAAGGATATATATACTAAAAAATCATTAATTTGCTCACGGCTATGTAAAAGACATTTATGTAGCTGAATCGGCTACACCAAATAGCCTCCCAAAAAAAAAAATACAAAGGATTTAAAACGAAAGACGTTTATTACTTTATCTTTGAACTAGGAGGCGTATTCTTGGTACATAGCAATTTCTTTTAGCAAGACAGACAATTACGGATAAATTGGTAGGTGAGAAAACTTTCAAATGGCTCTCAATAAACTATACTGAGTAATCGTTCTGTTCATAATAAATTTCTGATAGATAACTTCGTGTACAACGTAGTAGTTAGAACGAGTCCATTCTGCACTGTCGTTTCATAAGGTCTTAACTTTCGGGCAAAATTCAGTTAACCATTTTTACGCTATACACATTAAATCGTACATACAAACCTTTGAGATGTACATGTTTCGGTGCTTGCGGATGGCATATCCGAGCAGAATGCCCACACAGAACGGGCCGACATGATTGTAAGGTTTCTGGTAGACTTTTGAGCAGATCTCCACTAACATACTGGAAGAGACAATGTTGGTTCCTTATTTCATTGTTTGTATTTTATTACAGAGTAATATCAATTTCATTATTGGCAGGAGCTTTTGGAGCTCTGGAGGATGGCAGGAGCAATGTTTCAGTTCCTCAGCCTTAGGTATTCAATCAACGTATAATACGTGTAATTATTTTTGCACAGGTATGCAATATTGAAATTAAGATGTAGATTATGCGTTGAACTATCATTTACACAATTGAGCAAAAATGTTTATAAGTATAGATTTGCTTTTGGTCGCAATCGGTCGTAAAATATTGAGAGAGTTGATATACACATATGTATATATATAATCTCCTCAGATACAATAGTTGATGAACATCTTTCTGAAAATAAAATAACCGCTTCAATGTTCAGCCGTGAGATTTACTTGAGGTCAGGGAAGAATATCATCCCTGGTGGGAGATTGTAGAGGAACGTTACTCCGGCGGTGAGCACTGAACCCCCCAAGATGAACAGAAAGTTTACGATAAAGCCGCGCAAGAAGGATCTGTAAAAGATATAACAAAACTTTAATTGGTTCTGGCATATTTTGAAACTTTATCGTCGTCTAACTGATGACGAAACTGGAGGCTTTGATAGGTACCCTTTTCAAAGGCAATAGCTGTGTTTTCGCACACGTTTTTTTCGTACGGCGTCTACTGGCGGTCGTAAAAACCGCGTGAATCGCAGCGGACTACTGCGTGAAGATCTGCTTTTGATTCGCAAATCAAACTGTGTTTTCCATATTGTAAACATTCAAGAATTGTCGGTAATTGGTCTGCAATACTGAAACAGATTTTTTAGCAGCAACTCAATATGTTACGAATTTCTGTTTGAAACCCCATACATTTCGAACTTGTCCAGCCAGCGTCTTCGATTTGAGTAAGGATATTTATATATGAAAATGTTCAAGTGAATCTTCTTGCTCGGTTTTTTCTTCGGTAGTAAATTATCTATTGATACTGGCTTACGTCAAGGATCATCGTATGTGAGTTGTCAGCTAGGCAGCACTTGTTGAGTATGTTTATCAAGTGACAAATTAATCTGTGAGATCTCACCTGTAAAGTGGTATTACGAGCAAGGGGGCCAAAAGGACAAACTGGAACGCACAAGCAAGGTACCACGTTGCCACGAGACACTGCGGTAATGAAACGTCATAATCCTTTGTAATTCATACTGTTCCCGTTTACTCTTTTCATCAAAGTAAATATTAGATAAAGTAGGTATATCAGCGAGGCTGAGCTCGAACAGTTCAGAATACGTCAGTCGCTTCCCTAATGGCTAATTCAACTAGCCAGATTAAGCAAGAACAGGCACCAACCAATACATCTGGCAAAGATTAAATGTATTTAGTATAGTGTTTGACAGAGGTCTTGCCTTGAAACTAATAACTCTTATTTCAAACGACGATTATCAATAAACCGCCGTCGGACGTGTGCAGTTATAAAGTAGCTTACCATTTCCTGATTATTGAAGACGTTGTTCATAAAGATTAGATTTGTCCACCATTTGGATTCGCAAAGGGTGATCTCATTATCAAGAACGTCCTTCCAAAACGGGCCATCGCCAAATAGCGGGAGCAAGAATAGGATCCCCATTGTGGCCATGAGACCAGGCAGCATTCTGAATATGTAAAAGCACACTCCGTAGCGAAGTAGGGTCAAGATAGAGCGTATACGAGGCAAACGGTTATTTTTGTACGATCCTTATGTATTATACTAGTGGCTTTCAAAGCCCAGTCATGGAATTGTCAGTTACTTTACTGTCAATTAACATGGTGAAACATACGAATACGTCTTCCGCTAACAATCAGCTCGCTAAATTCTATAAAAAATGGTGACTATATCTTCATTATAACAGTATATCTAGAAAGAGCTCTAAACCTACCGCCAATATTTGTTGCAGATGAACGGCAGTATCTTCATAGTTCCCGTAAACTCAAATTCTCGCCAATTCGAGTACATAATTAACAAGCCACTAAAATTAAGCAGACGTAAAATGTACTATGAATAATAAAATATGAAAATTTAAATAAAATAAAAAAAAATCTTCTATTTAAGATTTTTTGCTGGCAGCGGTTTGGTGGCTTTTGACAGCGTACGGCTATGTACATCACGGTTGTGCATCAGTTCTTACAGTAAATTGAAACAAAGGAAAGGATACGCCTTGGACCTTCTTTTATAAACATTTGAGGTTCATGGTATAAACTGACGCTCTTTTAAGCAGACACTCCTCCCCATTTGGAGTTGCCAGCTCAAAGCGTTGGACTACTTTGGTTACCAGCATTAGACTTGCTTTGGTCTTTTACACAGAGTAACGATTTATTCTAAAATACAACATTACCTTAGCAAGAAGAACGAATCTACGCTGAGTGTGAAATTCAAAATGGAAGCCATGATTATATTTCCTGTGTGCACCTGATGACCGTTCAAAATCGAACCTGCAAACAACATTGATATAATATTGTAGCTAATATAAACGCACAAACATACTGCTTCGAAACGTCCCGAAGGGAATTAAATTTTATTGATCTAGCGTACATTTTAAAGGTGACTGTCACCGCAAATAAAAAATCTGCTTGATTTTTATATCGTATTGTAATGTCTAAAATTCGTTAATTTCAATTAAAGGCAAATTTACGCAGAGCAGCATGTACGTCATTCAGACGCATAACTAGGGCCTATTACGTTCAATGAAAACTATATATCTTTCAGGAAAATGTTTTATGTTATGTTCTACTCCAATTGGTAAATCTTTTTGGAACAAAAAGTACCTTTACAGAAAACAGCTGTGAAATATACCCTCATTATTATTATTATCTTTTTTGTTTGTTATTATTATTCAAGTATTTCTCTTTACAGAGAATTTTTACTATTTCTAAAACTCATTACCTGCGCCTTCAAACTCCTATCTTATAAGGGACACGTATGCGACTGTGGTATTGCGCGTTTCAAGCATTATACTTAGATTTTTCACCCTGTATTTAGATTATACACTTTGCAGTGTCGGTCAGAACAATCTGCTTCGTATTTATGATTCGAATAACTAGGACACATATGTTTGGTGGCCTTACTGAATACAATGTAGATCTTATAAAAGGCTAGGACACTTTTTTCGTCTGCATACAAATCGCGATAAACTACATCAGAAGAATCCTCATTCAGTGTGTCATTATTGGAACAAGGCCTTTAAGTGTACATAGGCAATACGTGGAAATTATTTCGAATAAATGCAGCATCTGTTTTTAGCGATCCTGCATCGACCACTGGCTGTTGCTAAACGTTGAGACGTATCATTGTGAAAACCGTGTCTTGATTGCCGTTGACTGAACGCTCTTCGCGGAGTAGCAATGAGCTTCGTCTTTGTCAAGGATAACATATTGCCTTTAGTTGGTCAGCACCAAGTTATTAATGGACTACTATCAATCAAAAGGCTTGATACCCACAGTGCTTTAGCTTATTGCCTGTTAGGTAACAAAATCTGTGTTATAGATATACGGCTCCAAACTATCAATGTTGGATGTGCTTGTTAGTATCATGGGCATATCAACTCATTTGACGCTCAGACACGTTACAGATATTAGGGATCCTTTTTTTTTTTCGCCCGTTGACAATTGTAGTGTAGATTAGGTCTTTAATTATATCTCGCATTTAAAAATCCTACAGCTAATGCTGCTTAGGTATGATCTTATCTATCGACTTAGTAGAAAAAAAATCAATTATGACCCTATCGTTTGAACGTGTGTTGATTTGGTCTCTAGAATATGCGTCAATATTTTTACACGTACCTAGTTTACAAACAAATACCTGGATGGAGTTATCGAAACTAGTTTAGACTTCTGTTTAGACTATTGTTTAGACTATTGTAGCCATCAGAAATAAAGTTTTTACTTACGAAATGGCTGAACGTTTTCGACAAAGAAATACGTATGGCCAAATATCACCCACAACATTGAGAGTGATCGAATCCCATCGAGAACCGCCAGATTCGAAATTCTGCTACTCGAAAGTCCTAACAGCTCGGACAGGTTGCCCTGCAACGAGAAACATCGTACAAGGCGGACCAACAGCGAGTCTGCCCAATATCGTAAAAAAAGTGTCAACAAACGACCTTCGGAAAAATAATAGCATTCGTACGTTTTCGTTAGTTTTGAATGGATAATCCAAGTTCCAGGATCACCTGTCGCTACTCTGCAATAAAATCTATTATGGAATATTATTGCTGAACAGCTATCAATGCCATTCTGTAGATAGGCTGAAACCTTTGACGTAAGCATCCCTACCCACGTCAACATTGATTCTGTGGCGGCTTATGTCAACAGATTGTGCCAGCCGGCTTAGACGTAGATTTACCACTGGGAAAATATGTTTGCAATAAAGAATGACCAAACCTGCATGTAACGCGCCATTCGTTTCAAGTGTTAACCTGTCTCATATTATTCCTGCAAACAGGAAGAGTGCGTATACCCACCTATCGATATAGCCTAACGGTTTCAGCATATGTATGCCCACTTCTAACCCCAGCTTTTTTGCGTGAGCGGAGCTATTTGCAACGATATTGCTCAATGATCCTTACACTTCAAGTCTCATTAATGGCACGTACTACACAACCTCTGTGAATAGAAAAAATTACTACTACCTTTACAGGATTCCACTGGATTCTTGGTTTCTAACCGTGTTTTGCTAGTGATCTCTTATTTCGATTGTTCGCCTTTATGAATCGATAAAGGTTAAGTTAAAACGTCTTCTTTCGCATATGCATGAGGTTCTCGTGTACTCCTCTGCCCCCTAGTGCACCAACGCACAAGCGTCTATAGACACACACCGATAGACACATCGAGACTGATACACATAAATGCAATTAGCAAAATGGATAGGCGCTGCTGTTGTTAGTCTCGTTTGTCACGATGTCAAACCCAACTGGTTACGTAATTGGGCATTTTAAGCAATGATAATTCAAGCATGTAGGCCAAGTCAAATCCCTGCCTCAACTTTAACTCACCGTGAGGGAGCCCTTTACCTGGCTCCCTCACGTGAGGGTCCTCGCCAGGGATCCCCTGGTGTATCCAGTAAAAACAATTGAACCAATTGTCATACGATGTCTACCCGCTGTGTAATTACTTTAATTCTTGTGCTTTACCCTTAATCATTTCGTTTTAGTAACTTAACGTTATTGTACGTCTCGTGTTGTGACATCATAACGGCGTTCAATGATCGCAAACGGTTAGGAAAAACAAATTTACTCATGCGACCTTTCAATCGCCTGTAGTCCGTAAAAATGAACACTGTCAAAAAGCCATTTCTATCAAAATTCTTGGCACGCAGCACATGTCCGCTTGCAAAAATCAGCAGCGTTTGGCCCCCTGTAAGATTTCTTACAATCGGCATGTAACTCTAATAGAGTGCAGTGAGTGTTCATTCGGCTATTGAGAATTAGACCGAATACTTAGCCTATCCAAGTACACGAAAGCTTTCGATTTTTAAGACCACCATTTGCTAACTGTGCACTAAATTAATAAATGTAAAACAACCTAACCTAATTCAGTTCCGTTGAGAGCTGCTTCTTTGGCATTCCGAGCGACATCCTCAATTCCGCAACAGGTTTCCAATAAAGTTCCGAGCGTAACCAAGATAAGGCAGATAGCAGCGGTTGCCCTGGCGGATAGAAATAAACGAAAGAACTATTCCAGTACGTAAAAAATGCATCCATATACGTACACTGTATGGGTAAATCCCTTTTTACATTGACTACTTGAATCGGTCAGCTGATCAAGACATGAATGAAGATTTACTGCCGGTGCAGTGCTATAAGCACGATTGGGTCGCTAAACACGCATGATAGTTATAGTTTAACGCACATGATAGCCATTTGCAGGTTCGAAACGGGGACTTCCTCACGGATTTCGCAGCGAGTCACCGATCCCTGGAAATCGACATCCTTCAGCAGGTGTTGGACCACCTGTGAAAAGCATTTTCCATTAGTAATAAACTAATCGCTCCTGTAGTGTGTACATATATATATATATAGTTAATTAATGTTGGCGACGGATCGCAGGTGGTAATTCCTATAAGCGGCCTAGTGCCGTACCGCAATTTTTTTTTTCGGTAGACTTCCTGTTGTCTCCCTTACTAATCAAATTTTAAAGCTAAATGCGTCAAATACTGTCAATCTATGACGGAAACAAACGGATGTTTACAACAGTTGCTGCCCATGTCCGCCAGCATATTGTTTACCGGTGTGACATTCCAAAGTCATGGTCGTAAGCCACGATCAATATCAGCGTAATTGTATAACAGATTTGCGTCACGATCCAGACAATTATTATGGAAAGTCCCCAATGACTCGAATCAAATGGATATGGCAATGTCTATTTGATGTATCGCGGCTAGACAATAGTCATTCAAAGGCGTAGCAACAAACCCGATCGATGTCGTCCTTGGTGCAGGCCGAAGGGACGCAAAGGCCCACGCGGTAACTAACATGGCTGCCTGGGATGCGTAACGTTTTCTCAGCGACCTGAAGCGACAAAGCATCCGCAAACAGCGACCGTATAGTCTGCGTTTTCGTAGTTGGTCTTGGAAAATTCAAGAAGTATGATTTTAAGGCTCTGCATTGTTGTAAGGAAATAGAAGATGAAATGTGCACATTTCAGTGCATTACGGAATAACGCACAAAGCGACTTCGTAACGAATCTCTCGTCCACTATTTAGATTTTTGTATTCTAGCATTGTATTGCAGAAATATTGACTTCGTCGAGTTATATATACTTGAGCCGAATGAGGATTCTTATGAAGTATTCACTTGCTGAAAGATAAGCTGTGATTCAACATGTTAAAATAACAAAATAACGTACATGTCACAGCCAACGTAGACGATTTCGGTCATATTTACTAACCAAAGCTCGTCAATGAATATATTTCGCATAAAATGCGCGATAATCGATTTATTAGCGTCGTTGGGTTCGAGAATTTGGATTGGTAAGTGAGCTGATTGAGAGGATCCCTAAGCGTAAGTCGAAAGAAGTTCAGTAAATATCCTTAACAAATGATCAACGATCGCTGGTGCGGGTGTCAATTATATACACGTTCGTATATATACATACACACACTTACATACATACACATATATAAACTTCAGATCTTTAGAAGATAATTAGTTGAGAGACCCTATCGTACTGTTGTGTATAACTGCGGCTATAGTTTCCACTTCAAATCAAGCCCATTGCATGGTAAGTATCGTTTTCCAACCATTAATATAATTCACGACTTGATATTACTACCGAATCAATACGCCCCAAAAATCATTAACACAATTAGACCTAGCCACATATACGTTACAATATATATATATATATATACTAAAGGGAGTCTGCTACGCAGACAACCGATTCCTTCCCACCTGATCACTGCTCAGATACGAGCCAAGTAGATCGATAGCATGAGTATGATTATGGAATAGTTCTATAAAGTCAAAATTCGGAGCCATTTGAAGGGTGCAGTAGGATCCAACGAAGGCAGGATCCGAGTCGTCGTTGGTCGCAGGCTCCGACGAAGCCGACGAATTCTTCGATTGGGCGTTTGTATCTCGCCTGCCTCGGCTTGAATGGACGTCTGCGCACCGTCAAGGAAAACAAACAGTCATTTTATTAGAAGCTATTTTCCCTTCTCAACAATAAAAAGACAGAAATGTAACAATTCTACTTTTAGCTTTTATCGAACGAGTCGACACACGGATACTCGTTTTAAATAAAAGCATTATGTTATGCCATGTAAAAAGCTTGTTTGAAGCGAAATACAACGGTGACGTTTGGTTACAGAGACCAGCCTCCACTAATATGGAAGACCGGGATCGTTTTAACAAAAAGGTATTTCAATTGTGAATACCAATGCACGTTAGCTTGTTGTGACACATTCGTCTATATGACGTTAAAAATTGGTTTGACGTGTGGCATGGCAAAGCATGACCTACAAGGGACATTTCGCAATTTCTAACAGCCACCGAAGCCTTGAGCAGGAAAAGCTTTCAAAACTGGAATATATATATATATATATATATATATATATATATATATATATATAGAAACGAAATTAAATATTTTATTTTGCATGATATTTGTTTACCCAGCCTTTGTCCTGTGTACACAAACAGGACCACGTACCATCTGAATGCTTCCAAGCTACAGTGGATAAACACTCGTCATAGGATCCAATTAAGGCGAGTGTTCCTTCGAGTAAGCCAGCTGGCGGTTTCCCGGATGCATCAGCCACTGAAAATCAAAGAAAGTCATTTCGAAGTTAAAATAGAGATGTTTTTTTTTATCGTTTGTGCTTTATGGTATTTACTATGAAGTCCCAGAGTCGTAAAGTCCGACTTGGGGTAATTTTTCTAAGACATTTCTATCGTACATCCTCAGATGTATTAAAAGAAGACAGAACTAAGATCGTAAAGAGCATCGTTGAACAAACGTGAAATCATTCTATGAGGAGCAGTTGACTAATGATGATGGACAGTTGAAGAATCGACTTGGCGAAGAACTAGAAGCGGCACGGTAGCTTGTAAGCCGCGTACAATCCAATCCATAATAATGAATGCTTTTGTTTTCATGGACGTACGTATATGAAGCTGTCTATATTTCCGCGAAGTTCCTTTATTAGTTACATTAATATATCAGGTTCACAGACGAAGAAGAAAGAAGTCAAAGTCAATGACACATCCAGCTAAATATATGTCCAATGCTCCTTCACGGAAAATCACATCGGTGTCATAGTTTCTAGCATAACGCCCAACAAGCTGTTGCCAGCGATTATATTTAGACACAATTCGTTTGAGTGAAGAGGCATAAAAGTGCAATTTTCACGATCGTTCATGTACTTATCACCATTATCTTTTTGGGTCCGCTATGATTTTTGGTATCTCTCTGGCCATCTTCGTCTAGTTTTGCTGCTTGATTAGCGGTTACGGTTAGTGCGCATATTAAAGAGCGCGAATCATAGCAACGCCAATGAGAACGCTGTTCGTGTACGATAGGCACAGTGTTACGTGGTCGTTGACGGGTAGTAAGCGTATTGAAGACCGTTTCTCAAAGTAACGCCATGGCGATGTTGTGTGAGACAGTGCTGGCAAAGCGGCTGGATAGGTTCGATGGATCTATACTGACCCCTCCAGACTTCGGCATTGAATATTGTCTTCGCGACAATGAGTCGTTAAGTTCTAATCGTTCATTAAAACGTCTTGTCTCGACAGCATTCATCCGATTGTAGCATTTAGCTATGGCAGACGTTTTACTTCGAAAGCTATTGTACGCGGGCCGCTACACAACAGAAGCCCCAATAATAACGAGGGTACGGAGCAGTGGTTAAACGTCAATAGAAAGTATCTTTTATTCGTGACCCTATTATACGGATGCCGCGTTTGCGGTACCGAAACGATTATCATTGGTAGCCAAAACAAGCCAGATCATATATATAGCTCTACAGTTAACAATGGCTAAGTTAGATCGCTACACATACGCAAAGGCCAAAAAATAATCGTAAAACTAGCTGCATCATGGATAATAAACTTCTGCCCACTAGACCACCATTTACATCAGTATAATATTTATTTGTTTTTTGGAATTACCCACGGCGCGTTCAAGTGTTTCGAGTTCCGGCCCAATGGAGAGGTACATGTATAAAAGTAAAATCATAGATAAGTCGGCTACACGCGCTAAATTACGATCGATCAAAATAATTTTCATTGCTATTTGTATTTAATGCATAGATTATGTCATGCGTATATATTTTCTATTTAAAATCATGGCTACATTCAGGTTCTTCATCAGGTATGGTAACAAATAGTTTCTACTTTTGCCGCGTTTTACAAGTAAGTTACAGTTAGTAGAACAGGGCCGAGCTAGTTATAACATTGTCCTGCTCGCCTCGTATAGGTTAACGACTGCTGCAGTGTGTGTCCGGCACGTGCAGTTCGATCGATTACCGAAACTAGGAAAGCCTTCAGTATACTCATAATTATACGGGTAGAGCTGACCGATGCTATGGTCTAGAGTACAGCAAGATCTCTTCAGTTCCCTTTCAGTACGGTCGACGTATCATAGTTGTCAGCAGTAACTGGCGCGGAAAATGCGTGTGTTCAAATTCTGCTAGATGATGTCGTGAAACGCCAACACAGTATCAATCAATGTCATTTGTAGTTTTACCTTAAATTTGTTTGACGGAACTATCGAGTAATGGTTTTAGAACTTGTTTATGAAATGGCCAAGGAGAAGACCAGATCAGCGATATGCTCCATCATCCAGCGAAATTGATTATCAAAGAGTAATTGTTGCAGAAGGCGCAGGCGCAAACCGAGAATTGAAGCCTCGGTTTTTGCTTTATGCCTACCTAGTGTAAAATAGGTGTACGTACATAATGTAAAGGTTTCTTCCGAGCCGTGATTAGGGTGGAGTTTTCGCATGCAATCCAGCTAAAGGAGTCCCAATAATTCAAATTATAATTCAAACGACTTATCAAAAAAAAAAAATAATACCACACCAGCGAGCGCTTACCATTTCCCCACATAGAATATCCTTGTTTCTAATTACCGTTTCTTTTAATATCAGCTTCGCGCTAATAAAGGTTACTACAGGGTCGCTTCGTGACAATAAGATTTTACGTTAAATACCAAGGGTTAACCTTGCTTGCATAGCACGTGTCGTTATCGTATGCGGCAGTTAGGGATCAGGGCTTAGTTTCAGTGTTTCGCAATGAAATGCGTCAGGCGTTCCAGAAGGCGATGAAAGCATCACTTTTGTGCGCCCCTAGCAAAAATCCGCCCCGGGGAAAACAAAATGATTCGAAGCGAACGTTTTACGGCGGGTAGCAGAAAGGCTAACCCATGGATCTTAGCTGCTTTGTGCCACCCCATTTGTAGCAGTAAACTGCAAACAGCTAAACGAAATCAGCAAAAGTAAAGACTACAGACCTCAGTAACAGCCGAAAAACCCCATTATAATGCTTATACGTTAAGCACGGCGGCCGAACATCAAGAGCTGTTCAATGCTTGACGGACCGTCGTCATCATCATTTCAATTTAGTATATACGATCGGACCACTACTAACAAGTAGTAACCTTCAATAGTGTAAATAAGTATAATGTTTTCTGCATTCAGCCTAACAAAACAATACAACAGAATTGAATGGTATGCCATAATATATCTTAAATGTGTACATTTAGTAGATATTAGATGTATACACAATCTTTTATTGTATAGCACTCCTTTGATATTCTAATAACAGTGATATCTGGCAAGCATTGCCTCGAAAAGTACAAAAGAAGTCTTACAATTTTAAATATACAATGTTCTTATCTCGGCGAAAAGTCGAAAAGACAGTTCTATCCAATAGGTGATAGGTGGTCGCACTCCATTCCGAGAATAAATCATAAATAAAGTAATACTTCGTGCGAACGTAACAAGATAAACATATTTTCCTAACGGTAGCCAATCGAAGTATTCAGACCAGTCCCAACCTCTAGCTGCAACGAAACGAACGAATCGCTCAGCGTACTCCTGCTTACGAAGTATTCTTATTATCACGGATCATCATTTGCCATCCCTTAAAGTGAAGATGCTGATCGTATCATCAGCCAACTTCAGTCAGGGTCAGCAGGCCGTCCTGCTGACCCTGACTGAAGTTGGCTGCCCAGATGAAGACTTTACGCTTCAGCTGACACGACTCACTTAGCTTACGACAAATTCGACCTCATTCTACTCCGTAGCCTTACTATAATACACTTTACTAACTGACAAGTTACGTTGCGAACTCAAGAATTAAATCAAGTTGAAGAGCTATTTTCGGATGCTGAACTTTCATCTGTCCGGCGATATATCACAGCGATTATTTGAAGGTTGCTACTCGCCACGGAAATTGTTGACAATTCTGGAATCACGCGTGAAGGGATTCTTGGGAATGGTAATAATGACTGTTTGTTTTGGTAATAGTACTAATTATGGCGTTGGTACCCGTGTGTAAGAGCTAGAGATTTGTGAAGTATGAACAAATCTAACAGAATGTCAGCTTCAGTATTGTGAAACTAAGAAAGGATATATTATGGCCACTGCGTCATCACTCGGGTTGAGTTGTGAGTCTCTTGAGAAAACGAAAGGTGGCCTAGTTATATATGAGAGCAGCCTTCTTTAGTGAAGAACGATTATTTCTGCTCTACATGTTCCGCGTATCGTACACGAAGGCCGTGATTTGTATCTCACCGAACCTCATCCCAGCTTCACAACGCTTTTGTTGACTCCTACGATAATCGTGTCATGGAATACCATAATAGAAAGTTTCTAGCAAAATACGATCTACATTATTGGATAGAGCTGCTTAAAAATACCGCTCCGGCAACATATAGAGTGACCTTATTAGTAACAGCTTGAGGCCGAAGCTCGTCGGACCTATATGAATACCTTAACATTCATATAGTAAATATGGGAAACTAGTTTACACTTGGCCAAGTCGCAGCTCATAACAGGCAGACTGTACGACTATTTCACTAGATAATATACTTATTGTTGAATGTTTACATATACTAGGGTTGAAGTGACAATTCTAGAATATATATATTTTATACTGATATAACAAAGTGATCAATTAAAAGTGAATTAATTAACTTGAACATTAACTTGAAAAACAAACTTCACATACGCAGGTACCAGCAACATCACTTCCCATATCGTGATAGTCTCAGTAATATATCATATACAAGTTAAGGTAATTATGAATGGGTCACCATAAAGGCAGTGGCAATTGGGTCCAATTACATAAATAAAAATATTAATTTCCACCTACCAATATTCAATGTTGTCAATTTTTTTCTTGTTTGTACCATTTACAGCATTGTCGCAAATTGTCAAAATCAATTAGCGACAAACTCGATAGAAAGTTGTGTTGTTACTCAAAATACGTACGTTATATGCGTAGGTTATTTGTTAACAGTTAACTTGATTGAGCTCCTGCAATATTAGTTGTTCGTAGAAAAAAAATCCGTTTTGAACCGACTTGTCACACTGTAGAACTTATATTTAGGAAATTTTCGAAGCAAATCGAAAAAGTAAATCGGAACACCCGATCAGGACAAAGTAAAAATAGGGGCTAAATAAAGGTCGTTTGCTACCAAACCGATAATACCTGCGCCCGTCCTTCATGTGGGATGGCATGAAGACTGAATTTTTCATCTGAGTGGTTGAAGGTGGTACGCTTTCAATAAATTGTAACGTTGACTGCTGTCACA